GCTATGGCTAGCACTGTAAGTGAAATCATTTGGTTACGTTGGCTTTTCCAGGAGCTGGGAGTTGATATGAAGTCTGCAATCCCTCTCCATTGTGATAATCAGGCAGCTTTACACATAGCAGCGAACCTGGTATTTCATGAAAGAACGAAGCATGTCGAGATGGACTGCCATTTCGTTCGCGAACGTGTAACATCACAAGAGATAGCGCCACAGAAGATAGCAACACAGGATCATATAGCAGATATATTTACGAAGGGCTTGGGTGCAGATCGGTTCACTTTTCTCTCTTCCAAGCTTGGCCTTCATAATCTTCATGCCTTCGCTCGAGGGGGAGTGTTGCGGATCGTGCACGTGGATTGCATGGCCGAGATGGTTGGGGTGTCTTGTTGTGCACTTAGTTATTATGGGTAGCTAATTGTAATTCGCTAGTTAATTATAACCGAAACCCTAGGTGATATGTGGTAGGGTTCGGCTGGGTATAAAAGCATTGTATAGCTGCTGCCGCTAGGGATCAAGAACGTGAAATAAAATTGACTAGAGAGCCCTAGCTCTCCGTGGAGTAGTCTCGTTCACATCGAATGGGGAAACCATGTAAATCGTGTGTGTTCGTTCTTATTGTCCTACGTTTTATTATAGATGCTCTCCTATTTATTATACTTACCCAATCTTAATTTGGAATCATAATCTGCAAAATACAACCACAATTATAAATATTTATTGTTCACTTGGAAAAAAGTACTAAACACTAAAAGAATTAGTAACTTATTCAGCAAATAATGGGTACCAACATAATGAAGAGTTTCTAACCTTAAACCAAAAGAGGAACGAAAATAAGAAGAGAGAAATTGTCAAGACACTGCTCTATATAATTATTTAACTCTTCGAGCAGCAAATAACTTCTACCAAGTCAATCTGACTATCCTTCCATGTTTCAAAACAATGCAATCACTTGCTTTTTATAGGAAAAATTACCGACTACTACTACTTATAACTTATCAAGAAATAATAAAGAAAACAAATCTTACCCAAATAATGCACTCACGTCCGGATCCTGGGATTCAATTTCATTGAAGACGGCTAACAAAATCCCCAAAAAATAAAAAAAAACATAAATCCCTTAATTAATGGAGACAATTTTAGTAATTGGATCCCAAAGCCACTTAAAAGTGTATTAGGAACCGGATGGCATGCTAACTTCCTAATAATTAGCACAATACTAACTTCATTAATCACCCTTCATCTTTTAATTCTACATCCAATGGTAAATTTTCATTAGGGGCAATTTAGGAATTTTCAAATTACATCAATTAGAATATAAAATTCCCAATTATTTATCTCTCTCTACCCGTCATTCACGTCTCCCTCTTCCCACTCTTCCTCGCATCCCTCTCTTTTCCCTCCCTCACTTTCTATCTCCTTTAATCAAATTCAAAAAAAAAATTCTGATAGTAATTTTGGTGATAAATATTTTCTAATAGTGATTCTGTCGAGATATATATAGTGATTTGGATGTTTTGTAGTAGTAATTTATGGTTTTTGATAGTTATTTGATGTCTTGTAAAGTTGTAGTAGTGATTTCATTGATGTTAATAGTGAATAGTGATACATATTTTATATTAAATCAATAATCACTACTAAAGAAGTACTACTAAGAGCTTAGAATCTATATAAAACATCATTAATCATTACTAAGACTATGAAATCACTACAACTTTGTAATGACTACTATGAAATCACAACTAAAAATTAATACCACGTACATTCTAATATCCAATGTTCAGATCTACAAAAATACTAATGCAAAGAATCACTATTGCTACTATTAAATCACTACGACTTATTATAAACCCACACACCACTTCCCTATCCATCATGATCGTAATCTATCAAGATCCACAACTGATTATCGCCACCATCCCTGCATCCATGACCGTTATGTTGGATTGAAAGGTCGACTTCGCCGCTCCCTAATAAAAAACCTCCACCACCATGACGACCTTTAACCTTTAGAAAGGTCGACTTCGCCGCTCGAAGGGTGGCCACATGTGTCAACGTGGAAATTTGAATGAGCACGAGGATGTTGTTGGGCCGGATGATAATTGAAGGGTGGTTGCTGGTGTCTACGTGGAAAGAAATAACTAAACTAGAAATCAAGTTGAAATTAACTTAAAGAAAAATCTATAGAAGAAGCTATGGTGAAAGACAGTCTGGAATTCACTATCTAATTATTTTACTCAACCAACTTATTAATCAATTTAATTCTCTTTCAAATTATCGATGTTGTCTATAAGGTGATAGCTATCTTTCTAAATACTCACTACGTACTAAGTAGTCAATTAATTGTTTACTCTTGTGCAACCAACTAATTAACTACCTAATCTGAAGTCCGATAACTTCTATTTACGTATTTTAATAACATTATGAAAACAGTTTTTTTGTAATGTAATAAGGTGTGTCGGTTACAATTATTGGAGGTGTGTCGGAGGTCTTATATTCGAATTTTTTTACACTGAAAAATTATGGGTTCTTCACAAAAATTTCGAACCAAGGTGGATCCGCCTCTGCTCCATCGCTTTGAGTTCCGCCAGCCGATCCTTCTTTGGATAACACTGGTCATCAACTTTTCCTCTGCATTGCTTTCTTTGGCGATTCGATGTTGGATCAGGGAGGTAGAGTCGGAGCAGGAAGGATGAGAGGGACTGAGATAATAGAGCGACGGTTGAAAGGGATGGTGGAGAGAGGCGGCTGGAGGGTGGGAGAGGGAGAGAGACACACGACTGTAGTGGAAAAATGGAGGTTAAATAGAATTAGGATTGTGTTTATTTGAATGGTATAAAATCACGTCCATTTTAATTATAACCGTAGGATTACTATTTTCATCTAATGGCTAAAAATATGGTTAGCATGGTGATAACCCTATTATTAGTTATCACCCTATATAGTTCCCTTCCTGATTTTAACCTGTGCTCATTCCCTTGGTGAGAGTTGCGTTGAACTCCCTTAGTCTCTTGTTTCCCGAGAAAAACCAAATGCCACCGCCGGTGCCGAATTCGTTTCCGGCGATGTTGATTTGATGTTTCGCGGTGGAAACTCTTGCGGTGCCGTTTGATCGGAAGCACCGCTGATTGATGAAATCGAGACGACCGTCAAATATCCGCCGCCGAATGTCGGCGCCGTTGATTCGATCGATGCACCTCTAAATGGTGAAATCAACGTGACCGTCAAATATCCACCGCCCGGCGGTGTTGATTTTATCGATGCACCTCTGACTTCTAATCAAGAACGACCGTTACTACGGTTCGCACCTCTCCAAACTAAGTTCGAACGAGGGTGTTTGAGTTTTTTTGAGGAATCTACGCTACCGCTACTCCTATGGAGATTCCTGTGGAGAGCTCCGCAACTACGACTAAGACTACAACTATGGAGATCCTTCCTGGAAGGAGAGCTCCGCGAAGGAGTTACAGAGAAAAAAGGTAAAGTTTGACAGATGTGTTTCTGTGTTGATTTTTGGTTGTCTCCTCTCTCTCCTTGTTCCGCTGCTTTTATTTGAAATCACTTGCGTAGTCTTCACGCCCTGTGGAACTGCTTCCTCAACCGCTCCGTTGTGAACTCCCACGTGTCTCAACCGTCTTGATCTCCTCCTCGCTCGAGTTGGTGTGAATCTCACGCGATGTCGTTTTCTTCCCCAAACAGCTCTGTTTGCTTTTTACTCCACGACATTGTTTTATATTAAACACTGTCGTTTGCTAATACAGCGGTACCGTTGGGCTTACTCGTGATACCGTTTTTAATTAAACGACACCGTGCTAAAAAGCCATTAAAAATATTAATTAATTAATTTGGCCATCACTAGTCCAACTCGAGTATTGACCAACGACATCATTAGCGTCAAAACGGCTCCGTTTGTTTTTCCTTTTGCGACATTGTTTTTTATTTTAACCACTGTCGTTTGCTAATATAGCGGTACCGTTGGGCTTCCTCGCGGTACCGTTTTTAACTCCCCGCGATGCCGCTTCTCCCTATCCAACAAGGAATAAATAATAATAATAATAATAATTAATTAGAGCAAATTCCTTCTCCAATACCCACACTAAACACGTGGCCCCTTTTGTTTTCGGTAAGCGGTGTCGTTTCCAGTACCGCGGTACGGCCGAGCTTCCTTGCGGTACCGTTTTAGTTCTCTGCAACGTCGCTCGGCTCCCAACGACACCGTTTTTTACCCGCGGTATCGACTTAAATGCCGAGACTAACTAATGCGGCATTTAATTCCGGCCGAATTAATTTTAGGTGTCAACACCTCTAATACAGTTGTAAGAAACATAGTTGTCTAGCACATGGAACTCTAGTGACTAGATAGGATAGAAATGATTTAGTTTTTAACAAGATAGAATAGAATTGGGAATTAGAGATTGAAGAACTAAATTGGCAAAGAACAAGATAGAATGGCCAAGGACTTTAGGGAGAAAGACAGGATTTTAGAGGATTGAGAGAGATTAGAGATTGGGAAATACTTTTCATATTGATGATTACTTAATTCCGATATAATATCCAAAGTAGAGGGATATAATATACTTATAACCCTAGAAAAAAATAATTAGCAACAACAATTAGGAGTGTTTGTAAAAAAAAACAATTAGGAGTAAATGATCTCTTACGTATATTAATAAATGACGGTTTTAGTATCTCCTCAAAATTTTACACCATCAAATCCTAAAAAATTAAACCCTTTCCAAACATGGAATTTGACTCAATTACCACAAACCAGTTCCTTGGTTTTGCAAAACGTGAAAATTAAGGGAAATTCCAAACTCCTGATAGTGGGAGCTGCACCCTTTTTCGATAAACGAATTGAGCATAGAGTTTTGGCCAATCATTTACCGCTACGATGGTAATAAAAAAGGAACATATCGGACATAGAACCAGTTTGACAAGTGAAAATTCAAATGGACAATAAGCAAAGCATAAACTATGACATAGGGAAGAAGCCAATAGCATAAACCGTAAAAAAAGTGTATTTGTTTTTACTATAGGATACACTGAAGTTGGGTTCGAGGTAAGGGGCTAGCAACAAGAGGAGCGACAGATGAAAAACTACATTTGTTTGCTAAGATACACTGAAGTACAAAGAATAAAGAACAATGGCTTTCGTCAACAGTAAATCCTGAACAAACTTCCAGGGTACAACTGCAGTGCTCGTTGAAGCCCGGATTCAACGTCAGTTGTTGCCTTCGCCCCTCGAGAGGAGAGATGAGGGACTTCCCCTGAAGGACCCATAAAAAAACGAACTAGAATCAATACAGGGCAATAACCAAGGAACTGGATAGGCAGACAACTAGAGAACAATTGCCATTCCCTTTCTGTCCAAGCATGGAGTAAACAGCATCATCACCCTTTCACAACAAAACACGAAGCACAAAAGAAAAAGAACCCCCCAGCAGAGACCTTAGATTCTCAGCTGTGTACATCCTAAAATAGTTCCACGGCACCTTGTCATTGGAGCTGCTCGATGCCAAGCCGGCCTTTCCCCAAGAACAGTCAACACATCAACATCCGACAACGGCTGGATTTCCCGGTTCCACCCGTCGGGGCCAATAACCCCTCCAATCACATATATGTCATCCCCAAGTTTGGTCAAAGCCAGCCCAATCCTCTTTCTAAACTCGGATGCTGAAACCACTACCTTCTTCGCTTTGCCCTCCTGCTTGAAAATCAGTCCATGGCTCATCACATAAAGAGCATCTTGAACGACCGCCATTGGACCTTGGAGCCATCCATAGTCTTCAACCTTCCACCCAGATGCTGCTACACCCTCCAAGACTTGCACGGTTGAAAGCCCTCTATGCAAAACATGCAACTTCCCCCCAATGACAAGTCCCGTGCAAGCAGAATCTGGAGTACGATGAAGATCGGGTATAGGGAACCACACATCCTTCTCAGGGTCATACATTTCGGCTCGAGATATCGATTTCCGACATGTAGTGAGACCTCCTGCCACTACTATCTTTCCGTTCAGCGCACAGCATGCAAACATTGCACGTGGCACGAGCATGGATGACCGCCGGGCCCATCGTCGAATCACAGGGTCATATGACCATACTTCGCTGGTAGCAAAGCTTCCATCTTGATCCCCAGTCAATGGGTCAACAGCATCACTGCTCCCTCCAAGTACAAACAGCTTCCCACTAACTGAGACAGCACCAAAATGAGCCAGATTCTTAATTTTGGATGGTAGAACAGGGATAGTAATCCAAAGCTCTCGGAGTGCGTCATAAAGCTGCCATGAATTCTCAGGTTCAAAAGCGCACACGCAAAGCAACTCCTCTGTTGAGCCAACCTCTTGCCGGGCTTTATAGAGTTCAGTGCTGCGAATGGCAGCTCGCCACGAACGAGAGACAAGCTCTAATTTGGGGAACAGGTAAAAGGGGACTCGTGCAATGCACCTGATGGCAACAGCGTCGGGAAGACCTTCGATCAGTTCAGACATACTAAGCATTGGTTCATCCGTCCACAACAGTTCTTTGATAGGAAGTTGATATCATATTGGATGATGTGTACACAAAAGATCTGAGATAAGACAGAAGGGTAGAAACATGGTCAGTAATGGACAAGTAAAGCTTTCAGAATTTTGAGATCAGATAGTCCAGAACCCGAATGAATACATCTCCACAAGGGAGTTTAAAAACATAACAACTGGGCTTCCTGAATCCTATGGCACTCTATCTAGTCTGCATCATTTACATTGTATGTCCTTGTAAATTGCTAAATTTGGCCATTTTCCTTTATATGCTGCATAGTGTGGGATATACCATATTATACCGAGTTTTTAGAATATAGCCTAGCGCTCCCAAGATTTTCAAACACCACAAAAATCAGTGATTTAAATTTCCATGATGGGACATGTAGCAGTCGCAAGAAAAAAGTGTGTTTGCAACATGATACCTTGAATTGCACTGCCTGAATTCTGTTCAAGCAAAAACATCACTCTCAGAGTGAAGGTGATGAGTGCTACATATGTATCAGCAAAAAAGATTCAAGCGGTAAAAGGTCAATGAAATGTTAGTTGGCACTCGCTTTGACAAATGATAGCACTTCTACCTGTCATGATCTCTCAATCTTTTAATTGAGTACAAAACAGAAGATGGAACAAGTCAAAATTGAGTTCAAAACAGAAGATAGAACAAGTCAAAATTCCAGGCACAAAAAGAGACAATGAATAAATTTGGGGAATAGAGAACTGTGGAAAGAAGCAATAATGCTAGACAAAAACCAGAGCAAAACCACAAAAGGGAAGTATGCAGAAAGAATGAAAATAACCACATTGCTAAGCTTGACAAGTTGCTACTCCCAGCCTTTGAAAACATTATGAATTCGTCGCTTGTGCTCAGACAGAGTGAAATTTTCACCATGCAAAACCTAATTGTAAAATATAATAGGTACTTGTGAACATTTTAATAAATCCATGTACTGGCCAAAAATTCAATTCAATTGTAACAAGAACAGCACCAGCAGTTCCATTCTCTGGCTGCAAAATTAGGCAACAACTTGAAGCCTAAAGAAGATCACTAGATAAGAGTCACCCCCAGATGGTAATAGCAGCAATAGAAGAAAAAAAAATGTTATTATTGCTGAAAGTAGGCTCAATTGAAAAAAGGGTCCCGGAAGGAGAAAAGGAGCATTATGTGACAAATCATATCTTTCCAGTGTCAGCTATAAGAAATTCTTTCTCGGCAAGAGCAACCATATAGTTGCAGAGAATTCCATTTTCTTCCCACAAGCTTGACAGAACCGACATCCCAAATCATGGACCACAGGATTGGAAGAAGCCAAAAGAACCAAGCAGAAAAAATGAAATGGAAAGCATGGAAAAAACAGAAAGAGCATGTGACTGCACTGTGCAGAGCATTTTTCTCAGCAAGTCTTCTACTACCGTCTAAACCAAAGGAAGAGGAAAAGGAGTTCTAAGTGAGGAAGCATCGGTGAGATAAAAGACTAACAGCAAAATGAAAGTTCTAAATTGCTTAACTTATTTCATATCGTCACGTTGTCCTCAACTGATAGAGTTCTACGCAGTCCGATGTATACATGCATAAATGATTTATTCAAAAGCTCTGCTGAATCTCTCCCTTAAGCCAGCATTTCACAATCAAGACTCCAATTGTCTGCCTAACTATGTTAGCACAACAGAGTTCACATCTCTTGACATATGGGCAAACCTGAAGCCCAACAACCAGTATCAACCTTTATCGAACTGCTTACATCCCTTCAGTGGCTAACAACAATGACTCAAGCCAATTCGATATACAACACCTCAGGCAATTGAGACGATAAGTTCATCAAGGCACCAACTTGAATCCCACTTGAAAGGAACCAGTTTAAAAGGGTTGAGACTAAGATTTTGGAACACAGTCTTCAGCTCAATAGTTCGGGAAAAAATAATTTGTCCCACTCCAACCATTGAGCATGCCAATAATAGGTCGAAAGCCATTTGAAGTTCTGGGGAACCCCACAAGCATTTCCAGGCAGGCAACAAAAGAATCCAATTTTGATTTGTAGGCAGGTGATCTCACCTTCTAACATAGATTAAGTTTTTAAGCTGTAGACACACACCCATCGAACTCAATTCCCACAGCACCAATTCACCAGCAAGTAAAAACTCGCACGAAACTCAAGATGTCATCAAAAGCCGCAAGTCTAAGCTCCCAAAATCGGGAGTTGGGAGCACCCATAAACAGACCGTGCAAACACCGGAGCAAAGGAAAAAACAACATTTCCCCGCACACCCAGAACGCAGACGACACTGGGTATAGGTTTAGCATCCAACGAAATTAAGTGCCTTAAAAACCGCACAAATTCTTCGTGGTGCGGAACACCAATTCAACGACAGATACATAGATAGAGATTGGGACGTGGCTTACCTGTGGACGCTACGGTTGCTTAGATTCTCGGCGTGAGGATAAATTGCGGGGACACTAGTGAGCACCGCAGTTGGAAGGAGGACGCAGCAGCAGAGAAACCTTTTGGCTGTGCTATGGGTTTGTGCGCAGGGTAGTGATGTGAATTTGGATCAGCAATCAAATGAAATGAAGCAGTGAAATCGAAGGTAGCAGAAGAGACGGAAGAAAGATTGTCGTCGTAGAAAGGTTAAGGATTTGGAAATGCAGAAATTTTTTTGAGGTACAATTGGAGGTGGAAGGAGAAGAGGGGTTATACTATATTTTTATTTGTTTTCTTTTGATAGACATAACATAACACATGTAAAATCTAATTTTTATGAAAAGGTAGAAAATAAAGTTCACAAGGAAAATGGAGAAACGAAGCTATGGCAAAAATAAAATTAGAAGGAGAGAAAAGCAGATTTTTTATGTTATCTTCTTTTTGCCATCTATTTAATATTATTTTATTTTGATTTTCGTTATAAGTAATTTGAATCGACTTCCTTTCTAGTTGGAACATAAAGTCCCAACAATACTAGATTATGTTTTTTTAACTAAGATGAATCCCTAGGCAGACCGGACAAACAAGTATACAAAACAAATAATAATAAAGAGTGGTAGCCCGTATGCAACCAGACTCCCGATAAAGAGCTTGTTATGTCACTAGTGGGCAACTCTATTAAAGTTCCAAGAAGCGAAAAAGACACGAAACTGACACGAGAGACATGAAGAGAGAAGAAACTTCCCTGTTAATGGTTCTGTCTCCGGGAAGGGAAGACTTTCTCAATATCGTACCCATGATGACTAGTTGAAAATCCCCACAACATGTGAAAATCAATACATTATGAGTAAGATACCATTTCGTAGCTTCACTAAGGACAAGTAATATATATATATATATATATATATATTTATTTATTTATTTATTTATATATTTATTTATATATATATATAGTGGCTATTTCGGTGCACTCAATTTTTTGGGTGCATTCAGTGCACCCAACTCTAAAAGTGGTCATAATACATCAAATTTTGAAATTTAATGGGTAGCATTAGTCTCATATGATGATATAACACAAAATCACAACTAATCAACCCATTACCCTAACCTATTAAAATTCAATTTTGAATCTAAACCCAAAATCCCAAATTGTAAATCCTAACCCTAAATTCCTAAACCCTGAATCATTCAAATTAAAGTGAATTTTAAATGATTTTTGTACAAATTCATGTGGTTCTTGTTCATCATACTACAAGGGATGATTGACTTCGTTTTCACATGAATCGTTTGCTCAGAATGACGATTATGAGGCGAGTGCATTGAATGCACCCAAAAAAATGAGTGCACCGAAGACATAACCATATATATATATATATATATGGTGGTGTATTCGGCTCTCACTCTCGAACTCCATTTTCTACTCAAAAAGTCGTCTCTCTTTCCTTTGGCTCGAATCTGCCTCAAAAACCCGATTCTGGGCGAAATACAGGTAGAAATACGGTCATAATTATGGCCTGCCCGTATTTTGCCCAAAACGCGCGTTTCACTTATCGCTGATGAAGAGGAAATACGGTCGCCCTTCTCGAAATACTGCCAGTAATAGAGCAATTACGACCGTATTTACATTGGTGCTTGCTCGTATTTTGCACTTCGACAGACATCTTTAAGGGTTTGGCTCGGCATGCTGTTTAGGGTCAGGGGCAAGGGGAATTACGACCGTATTCGTGCAGGGGACACCCGTATTTTGCACCTTGAATCGCCAAATGACCTCCAAATGACCCGAAACTTGCGGCTATGCCTCCTTCTACTCGCTTGGACCTGAAACATGACAAAATAAACCAACCTAGCGTAAAATAGGCCAAGAAACCACAAATTCGAGCCAAAATGGTAAGGACATAAGGGTGAAAACATGTGCAAATACGACGTTATAAAATTCCCCCACACATAATTGTTTGCTTGTCCCCAAGCAAACCAAGAAACCACAAATACGACGTTATAAACCAACCTAGCGTAAAATAGGCCAAGAAACCACAAATTCGAGCCAAAATGGTAAGGACATAAGGGTAAAAACATGTGCAAATACGGCGTTATAAAATTCCCCCACAGTTAATTGGTTGCTTGTCCCCAAGCAAAGAAAGTCAGATACAAGGTAAGCTCAAAACATTTTTAATCATGCAACCCTTGGGGACATATCATATAGGCACGAAACACGGGAATCATACTGGCTCTTAGACATCAATATATGGACAAATTCAACAACAACCTGGACAACCACCATAGAGGACATTCGAGTGCAGCAAAATCGGGTAAATGAAGAGTCTCCCTTCTGTTCATCAACCAACCTAGACTTGACTCAACCACTTATTCAAGACAGTCACCTCATGCATAAAACTCAAGACATCATAATCAAGACCGAGCAATCTAGGTCCTCACCGGGGTAAAGAGTGCAGAGAATGTAAGGAGTGCAGATGCTTATTCTCTCAATCCTAACGTCTCTCCACCATGAAGACAACCTCTAAATGTTAGAGTTCACATATTGGGTGTCACCACTAACTAATTCGGAGGTCTTCGACACAGGTTCAAATGACTGGCTAGGGTCTTGGACATGGGGAAAATGCCTTTTAGGTGGTGGAAGTATTCATAACACAAGGTTCCACAGTTCCAAAACCAACAAAGTCACAATCATTCAAACCGATATGCTCTACATATCATGGAAGAGGGATCTATCACACACGAAAGAAATAAGCAGACTCAAATCTCACATGGCTACCTATATGCTCTATCTCTCATTCTGATTCCCTGAACTAGATGCATAAACGACTGTCAAGAACAAGTGATCAATCCAAGTTACAGTTGGTAAGCAAACAGTTGAAAAACTGAACCCCTACACAATTCTACTTCACGTCTCAGTCATCATTATAGGTTGTCCTACTCAAAATCCAGTTGTCATGCATCAATTCTAACAGCCATTCGATTCACCAATTAAACCACAGTGCCATTATGATCATGCAAACATCAGTACTTGGAGCCCTCAAATCTAGAGATTTGGACAACGGACTAGGCTCCAAGCACACACATATACGTTCCACTAAAGACAAAGCACCCCCCACACTTGAGTTTGACATTTCCATCAATGGAGCAGAGGGAAGGGGAACGATATTTCCAAGAAATGATGAGCGGGAACGGTGACTGGAAGGCAGACCAATCAAGGCTAGAGACGGGAAGGGGACCAGTCCAACTGGCACAGAGCTAGAGTCCTGAAAACACACACACTAGGTGAAAGAAACCATAGTTCCAAGTCTACAATCCAAATAAACATTACAAGAGAAAATGAAACACAACATGGAGTCTTAGTCTGGAAAGAAAGACAAGTACAGAGCCCAGCTCGATGGATCAGCAGGCAGAGCCATACTAGTTCTCATCACCACCATCGCCACTACAAGAAAATATGTCTGGTGTGACAAAACATAATTTTTTTATTACCAATTTTTTCACAACAGATACAAAAATATGACAAAATATTACTTTCATCATAAGAGACTTATTTATTGTGACGAATATAGATTTGTCACAAAGATTAATCACATTAGCTTCTTAATGTGACAAAATTGTGTATGTCACAAAATATTTTTCATAACATCATGGAATTATGCGTACTGCACAGAATAATGTGACAAAATAACTTGTCATAAAAAAAATTTGTCACATAAAATGAGTGTAAGTGTAATATGACAAATAGGTTTGTCACAACAACTAAATAGCGAAAATATGGAAAAGTGTTCACATTATCCTACATTATTGTTAATTAATTCTATAGAGGGGAAAATCCCGCGTTATTTTTTCGCACTCCCACTCTCCCCTCTGTAGAACCCAGCAGACTCTTCCAATTCCCCCAAAAAAAACCAACCCTTCTCCCTTCTCACGAACAACCATAATCCCTAGAACTGTTATTCCCTCAACAAAACTATAATCTATCACCAAAATCGTAATCCCTACTCTTCCCTATTGAAGCCCAGACGAGCAGAGGAAGGCTCCAATTAGGTACATACTAAGATTTTTTTGTTGCATGTCGGTAGATTTTGTTGTTCGGCTGTTCGATTTTTGTCTTCAGGTCTCTAGTCTTACCAATCATACTACGGTGTCGATAGATTTCTCATCCATGATCGACTGCATGTCCTGATTTTACTTTGTTGTTGATTGATCGTTCAACCCAGTTTTATCGACGAATCTCTTAAGTTGATGTCGTTTACGACGTCTTCTCCACTGATCTTTTCAATTTCGTTGCGATGCTGTGATGTTGGTTACGACTCTATTCGATTGCTTGAACAACTTAGTTTTCTCGATTATGGACTTCTATCACAGTTTTGCGGGTCTGATTTTGCGAGTTTGTGATGTTCGATTTCCAAAGTGTGAATAGCCTAGGTATAGGACTGGAAAAGGGAAAGGGAAGAAGGTGGCCCGCTCTAAGGTTGGTTTCTTCCCGTTAAAGGATAGGTTGCAAAGGTTGTTCACAAATAAGAACGTTGCTAGAGATATGAGGTGGCACAAGGAGAAGCGTGTTGACTATGATGTCCTTAGACACCCAACTGATGCAGAAACATGGAAAAAATTCGACACAGACCATGCTTAGTTTGCTGTCAACCCTAGAAATGTTCGTCTAGCTCTCTTAAGCGATGGTTTTAATCCATTTGGCAACATGAGTCCAAATTACAGCACGTGGCCAATTGTTTTAACTCTATATAATTTACCTCCATGGAGTTGTACGAGAATGTGTTGGGGACCCTACTAGATATGGATGGGTAAATGAAGGATGCTGAGAATGCCCGTAGAGATTTGGAGATTATGGGTATTAGAAAGGATTTACACGTGATTAGTGATGGTAATGAAGTCATAATGCCACCTGCTTCATACACTTTAAGGTTGGCAGACAGGAGGAAACTGTGTGAATGGCTGAAAGCTATTAAATTCCCAGACTCTTGTGCATCCAATATTTCTCGTTGTGTTGTTGCTGATGGGTCTAAGGTGTCAGGAATGAAAAGCCATGACCATCATATCTTCTTATAGCGTCTTCTGCCTGTCGTGGCTCAGGGGTTTTTGCAACCAAAAGTGTACACTGTACTTGCAGAACTAAGTGGTTTTTTCAGAGAATTTTGTTCAAAAACCATAAAAAAGTCTGTTGTGAACAGATTAAGCCATGACATTGTTTTGATCCTTTGCAAACTCGAAATGCTTTACCCTCCAAACTTCTTCGTTGTCATGATCCATCTAGCCGTTCACCTACCACGTGAAATTGCACTTGGAGCGCCAGTGCAATATAGATGGATGTACCCAATGGAAAGGTAATCCGAGAACTCCTAATAAAATTTTGGATTAAGCCATAACATTTACTCAATGGATTTGTTGTTTGATTTATTTGTCATTTTGGTTTTTCTTTAATGTGTATAGGTTTTTAGGAACCTTGAAAGACTTTGCCTGTAACAAAGCTTGTCCTGAAGCCTGTATTGATGAGGCATGTGTAGCAAAAGACTGCCTCGACTTTTGCAGTAGGTATTTTCAAGGGGTTGTGACGAGATAAAATCGTTTAGATAGGAATGATGAGGGTCGGGATTTAGAACCTAATGGATTTTCAATATTCAGCCTAAAAACAAGACCAATAGGAGGTTCTTCACGTGAGAAAGTTCCCCTGCATAATTTAGTAAGATGCAGTGGTACATATTGAATAACTGTCAAGAGATAGAGCCTTTTCTTGAGTAAGTTTATTTTCAGTTTGATAAATTTTATCAAATAAACCCAAGTAAACTTATAAACATTTAACTAAAAGCAGTTGTTACACTTGTACATAATGCATAAACAAGAGTTTGTGCAAAAAAATCCCAACTGTACAGAAGCAGATATACATGCTGATTGTCGTTCTTGGTTTAAAAAATATGTAAGCAGAAACTTTAACCTTGTTGAGTTCCCCTTGTTTTCCTATCAATGACTAAACCTTTCATTTGACATATTGACCCCTTTATACTTTTTTCTATTTATAAGTGTCTAAACTATACATCAACAGGTCAGTTGGGAAAGGTGACCATTTATATGTTATAGGGTTAGGTCTAGATGCTATAGTAACTAGATACAGTGGTATCATTATGAATGGGGTTAGATACCATATGGTTGAGCGTGAAAAATGGTAATCGCACACAAAACAATGGTATTGTGGTTGAAGGGGAACACAATTAAGAAACAATTGACTTTTACGGGGTTATGGTGGATATAATTCGGGTGCAGGACAACTATGGGTGTCAAGTATTCTTGTTTAAGTGTGATTGGTAGGATGTTGGGGATAAAAGAAATGGTATCAAGTCAGACACCCATCTCACAAGTGTCAATATGTCTAAGAAATGGTATATCCATGATCCCTACATACTAGCAAGTCAAGCCAACCAAGTATTTTACCTTCCTCATATAAAGAATGCTGGGAATTGGCATATTGTACATAAAGTACATCCTAGACATGACTATGATATTCCTTATAATTCAGAGATAGATCCTATGTATGAACATGAACCATATCAACAGTTTGTGGGTGTGGAACTTGATGGAGTCCAGGTTGGTGAACTGAGCAGTAGTGACTTAGAGGAAGAAGTGCCCGAAACACTTAGTTCTGATGAGGATGGTAATGAAGATACTAGTGACAAGGATGGGGATGGGGATGATACAATGATTTTGTATAGTAATGCTGCCATTGAATCAGAAGACACTTCTGATAGTAATGGTGGTAACAACAATGATGATGATCTCTAATATACTATTGTAATTTTACACAACAAAATAAACGATTTTGGTGTTCCTGGATTGTTATGTGTGTGTGTTTATGACTATTGATGCAAACCATGGCATAAACGTCCATGTGAGTGTTAAACTTGCTCGATAATACCTGGTTTGTTTGATGGCTTCTTACCCCTTCACATCGGCTGTGTACTTCGCACTTATGTAGGGCATCCACTATCTCCATCATTTGGTGCTTACACAGTTAATGACCACTTTGAACCCCAAGGTAATTGTGGCAGCTTATGCTTCTCCTTCTAAGATCGTAAAACTCATTTAACTCTTGTCCATGATTGACCAGATAGGTCTCTAGGTCATTGTATATTCTAACATTGCATCTCTTACTTCCCTTCTTTAATACTCCATCTTAGCCTTAAACCATCAATTTAATGGTCATCTCCTTGATGACTGTTTCATAAAGTTAAAGTCCTGCTAGTACTTCTACCTTTCATAACGCATCCAAGATGTCCTTTCATCCCTCTATTACGTGTCTCATATTTTATATATACTTTTTCCATTTAGGATACACCAACCAGGCCCACTAGAGTGTTTAGGGTTAATACCTTATTTTGGTCCGAAGTATGACCATGTAATCAACTTTGGCCCGTGGTTTCAGAAATTAACATCTTGGCCTCAACTATACAACATATAGACTCAATTGGCCGAAAGCGTGGTTTGACCGTCAATTTGGACGGTCAACACCGTTGACTAACGGTCAACGGTCCAGCTCACTGCCACGTTAGCATCAAATAAATTGAAAAAATCGAATTTTAAATTATTTTTAATATCTCATTTTTATAATAATAAAATAACTTCATAAAAATTAAAAAAATATACAAAAAAGCCTTTGGAATTTAGATGAGGCTTTGATCGAAAACCCAGTCCCCCAATCCGGGACTCTCTTCCCCTAATTAACAAATCAAAACCCATTCCTCCTCCGCCTCAAATTCCCCCAATTCCCCTCCTCCGCCGCCGTCTGCAAGTCCTGAACTTCGAGTTCCATTTCCCGGACTTCCCTGTCTCCGAAAGCTCTCCTCCACCGTCCAGAACCTCTTCGTCTTCATCACGGCTCGGATCGAACGACCAAGCACCACCAAACCTCCAGCTTTGCCAAGTATCGACAAGGCCCAACTGCAGGCTCACCGTCTTCGAACCCACCACTGGGCTCTGGTACAAGCTTCCCACTCTGCCGGTCAACGCGAAGAGGACGTACGAGTCGAGCTTGTCATTGGAGAGGCTCGAGACGATAGAGCACTTGGCCGCGTCGAGGAACAAGTCGATCTGGGGGCGAGTCAAGGCGCGGAGAAGTCCGTTGGGGTCCTTGAAAATCTGCGCCTCCGAGAAGGAGATCTCGAGACGCTTCTCGAATCCTTCGAATCCGATTGGTGAGGTGCTGACCACCATTGCTTAATTTTGAAATTCTGAGATCTACAAAAGGGAGAGGGAGATGCAAAGTTTTTTTTCTGTTCTTATTGTTGAGGAGCTTGTTCTTGAGGGATTGAGAGAGGAAAAGTAATTCAAAGATAGAGAAGAAGTTGAAATTGGGAATTGAATCGAGAGAGATTAAAAAAACGTATGTTTGAGTAACCAGAAATCTGGGGGAAAAAGTAACCATAGAATCCTATCAAAATCTCGTCCCAATTTTGTTTAATTTTTAATTTTTATGGTTTTTATTTTATTATTATAATAATGATATATTAAAAATAATTTTAAATTCAAATTTTTTATTTATTCGATGCTGACGTGGCAGTGAGTTGGACCGTTGACCGTCCAAATTGACGGTTAAACCACGCGTTCGACCAATTGAGTCTATATGCTGGATAGTTGAGGACATGATGTTAATTTATGAAACCACGGGCCAAAGTTGATTATATGGTAATACTTCGGGCCAAAATAAGGTATTAACCCGAGTGTTTATCAAAACTCATATCTCATATTTATTTATTTATTATGCCAGTGGTGATCTAAAAAGAGGAGAAAATATATACGAGAGCCTGACTTTAGAGCTGCCGAAGAAAAATGTACGCTTCTCAAGCGTGCTTCTTTCCACTCACAATCACAGGAAGGGGTGTTCAAACGGTGTGGTTACCATGGTAACTGTTTTAACCAGTACTATTTGGATAATTTGGTTTGGTTAATTTGGATAATTGGTTTGGTTTGGTTAAATTTTTTAGCTTGTTTGGTTTAGGTGGTTTGGTTTGGTTTCAGACACTCCTAACCAGCCAAACCAAATTAACCAGATAAATAATTAGTCATATATCTAATATATACACATACTTAATACTTTGAATAACCACTCAAGAGTTAAACTTTCATCCTTTTAGACTCATAAAATATAAAGCTTGATATTGTTCCTATAATGTATATTTGTATATGTAGAGTGTAGACCACAACATATAAACGCCTAATTTTAATAAATCTCATACATTATGTTGGATGAAAACTTGAAAGCAAGGTCCTTTTCAGCCTATGAAAATTGCTAAAAGACTAAGTCAATTCAAACAAGCACAACAATTTATTAACCCATACCATTGTGATAAAGTTTTGTTAGGTGAATACTTCTATACTAACCGTAAGATAATTGTCTTAGTTGGATGTATTTATGTTAAGGGTCAACTATAACTATGTGTTGATTGTTATGTTTTATTCGTTATATTTTTTTATGAGAATGCTTTATTCATTGTATAAATTGTGAATTGGTAAATTAACCAAAAATTTCTCACTTAATGATAATATGATTTTATATTGATTAATCTGGTTAACCAATTAACCAAACCGATTAAACTTTAGTTTGGTTAATTTGGTTGTTGTATTAGAGAATATGAGTTTATTGTTGAAAAGGGGTCGTTTGGAGAATATGAGTTTAAATCTATAGATTGTCAACAATCTAAAGATTCTAACTCTTCGGATTGTTGAAAACGGATTTTAAAATGTTTATTGTTTGGTAACTGTGATTGTTAACCTTCAATTAAAATAAAAATTTTATTTTATATTAAATAACATGTTTATCCTTAATAAAAAAAATTAAAGTGGTTTGAGAAATATTAAAAACTTTGTTGATAAATATATTTCATGTGTGATAAATAAATAAAAGTAAGAGAAGAACTAGGAGAAAAAAAATCTTACAAATCAAGATATAGAATCTCTCTGATTATGAGAGATTTGATATCCACGGATTTTAGAGATTTGAAATTTCTAAAGCTAGAATCCACAATATAAAAAGGAACAAAAAAATATAATTTTTTACAAAATCTACGAATTCAGTGAATCCATGTCCTGAATCCTGTTCTCCAAACGACCCCTAAATAGTATCAAAGTATCTGATTCTTCTCAAATGCTGACGATCCCATGGGCAGGTAATTAGGGTCGACAATCCATCCGATCCTACTGTTTGGCCTTCCATCGTTTCTAGTTCTCTTCCTAAATTCCCTGTTCTCTGTTGGATACTGTTTCTTAATCAACAAATTGCACATTGCAGTGCTTGAGCAGCCGCTGAGAAAACACTTTGGTTAATCGAGAAACTTCCATGCAACTTCTCAAGCAGCTTCCGGCTACCAGGAATTTCTTCATCTCCCAAAACAACAGGCTCGTGGTGATCAAGAGACTGAGGATCGGGTTTTTTCCTCAACAAGTGTTTGCGACTTGGCGTTATTTACAAATATACTGAATGCAGAGAAGGGTGATCTAACAACATCATCATGCCCTGAACGATCGCATTCAGCATAAAAGCCAAATTCATGCCAAGCATGTTCGCATCAATTTCACCTTCTAATGAGATTCGGGGGAAACTTTTAGCCAGTAACTTGAACGTTACAAACATAGGCATTTAGGTGCACAAGACAGATGTAAACGATCAGTCCTTACCTTGGCAAGATTTAATGCTTTAGAAGAGAAGTTCAAAGGCGCTAACACATTAACTGAACAAAAGTTCAAATAACATGGAACATAAGTTTCTGGTGATTAGAGACTCGCCCTTGAATGGTTACTGCAACAAGATTACTATCCTGGACAGCAGCTCTCCTCGTCTCCACCAGACTCTAAAAGTCCTGCGTTCAAAACAAGGAAATAAGAATTGCACAAAAAACATTGGTCAAAAGAAAAGCCAAAATGTATTATCTTTCGGAATACCATTCCCCTGCATTTCATATCGCCAGGAAGAAAAAAACCTTGAAGCAGTCAAAGTGGATAAAACTACATGTCTTATTGGTGAATCTACCCAAATACTTCCAAGAACTGAACTACTCAATTGTGCAACTAAACTAAAGCAGTTTTTAGTTTTGCATAAAGAGTACTGGGCTGAAAACTTTTTCCACTTCAGAACCATTTAGATGTTACAAATACCATGAAGAATACTGGGGAGAACTATTTCAGAGAGAAATTGCCTGTGTGCCTACTTCGCAGGTATCAAGTAGTGATCCTCAAGTAATATCCCATAACAAGTGACTTCAAAATTTTAAAATGTCAAGTGCCAACATAAGAAAATCATCACTATCAACTATATGTAGTCAGCAGGAAGAAAGCTTAACGTGGAATCACCGCTACCAGAAAGAAGAAACCCTTGGGATAATTCAAAATGGTAACTGACTGCATAAGCCTACCTTGTCAATGGTACAATCCAGCTAAAAGGGGGGTTTTTTTCTAATTTATAATTGAACACAACATGTAACTAGATATTAAATGCTATTATAGATCCCCATGAGCTAAAAAGTCTGTAAAACATGTAAACCACAACGGGAAGTAAAATAATAACTCACTGTATGACCAAGGCAGAAGCTTTGTATTTCATGAGCACCCTTCCAAGGGCTTCTTAGGAAACACAGAAACTGGCATGAAACGCAAGTCGAAGAGGTGATGTTCGGAACAAGAAAGCCTCTTCTTTTCAGTGAATAACCAGAAACCCTTTAGTTTAAAGCACACAAGGAAGACAATCACACGAATTTTAAAATCACTGTCCGCACTAACTATAAAGCATCCATCCGGTGAAAATTCCTGCAGAGAAAGTAGAGAGTAATTAACAGTTAGCTCAGCAGTAAAATAGTAAATCTAGATACCAAAGAAGGAGCCACTAAACAATAACAAACCAGTCTCATAATAATGCTGCAGTAATGAGCCAGAAAAGGTGCTGCCTTCCTATTAGAGAAAGCTCCATTGACATCTAGATCATGGATAATACAACCCAGACAACTCCAAATTTGTCAGCATAAGACAAATACAGCCCATCGTTGCGTATGGAAACTGCACTCACTCTCTTCTCTGAGGACCTGTTGCATTAACCAACTGTTAGAGACCAGCATATATATAGCAAAGCAAGGAAACATTGTCAACTCCAAGTGTAACCTACATATTGTAATGGTATGACATAAGAGCTTTAGCCAACCATTTACCACTGAAATGGTAATAAAAAAAATAAGCATATCCAACATAGAGCCAGTTAGAATGAAGATGGAAATTTGAATGGCCTATAAGCAAGGCATAAACTATCAGATAGGAAAAGAAGCCAATAGCATAAACCGTAAACAAGTATATTTGTTTATGCCATAGGATACACTGAAGCTGGGTTCGAGGTAAGAGGGCCTAGCAACAAGAGGAGCGACAGATGAAAAAATACATTTGTTTGCTATAGGATACACTGAAGTACAAAGAATAAATAACAATGGCTTATGTCAGCAGTAAATCCTCCAACAAACTTCAAGGTACAGCTGAGGTGCTCGTTGAAGCCGGATTCAACATCAGTTGTTGCCTGTGTCCCTCACAGGGGATAGGAGGGACTTCCCCCACAAAAAGAAAAAAAGAATCAATACAGGGCCATAACCAAGGAACTGGATAGGCAGACAACCAGAGAACAATTGTCATTCCCTTTGTGTCCAAGCAGGGAGTCAACAACGTCACCACCACCATTTCACAACAAAACACGAAGCACAAAAGAAAAAGAAACCCTCCCCCCAAAGCAGAGACCTTAGATTCTCAGCTGTGTACATCCTAAAATAGTTCCACGGCAACTAGTCATTGGAGCTGCTCGATGCCACGTCGGCCTTTCCCCAAGAACAGTCAACACATCAACATCTGACAACGGCTGGATTTCCCGGTTCCATCCGTCGGGGCCAATAACCCCTCCAATCACATATATGTCATCCCCAAGTTTGGTCAGAGCCAACCCAATCCTCTTTCTAAACTCGGATGCTGAAACTACTACCTTCCTCGCTTTGCCCTCCTGCTTCAAAATCAGTCCATGGCTCATCACATAAAGAGCACCTTGAACGACCGCCATTGGACCTTGCAGCCATCCATAGTCTTCAACCTTCCACCCAGATGCTGCTACACCCTCCAAGACTTGCACGGTCGAAAGGCCTCTATGCAAAACATGCAACTTTCCCCCAATAACAAGTCCTGTGCAAGCAGAATCTGGAGTGCTATGAAGATCGGGTATCGGGAACCACACATCCTTCTCAGGGTCATACATTTCAGCTCGAGATATCGATTTCCGACATGTAGTGAGACCTCCTGCCACTACTATTTTACCATTCAGAGCGCAGCATGCAAACATTGCACGCGGCACGAGCATGGATGACCGCCGGGCCCAACTTCGAATCACAGGGTCATATGACCATACCTCACTGGTTGCAAAGCTTCCATCTTGATCCCCAGTCAATGGGTCAACAGCATCACTGCTCCCTCCAAGTACAAACAGCTTCCCACTAACTGAGACAGCACCAAAATGAGCCAGATTCTTAATTTTGGATGGTAGAACAGGGATAGTAATCCAAAGCTCTCGGAGTGGGTCATAAAGCTGCCATGAATTCTCAGGTTCAAAAGCGCACACGCAAAGCAACTCCTCTGTTGAGCCTACCTCTTGTCGGGCTTTATAGAGCTCAGAGCTGCGAATGGCAGATCGCCAGGAACGAGAGACGAGCTCTAATTTGGGGAACAGGTAAAAGGGGACTCGTGCAATGCACCTGATGGCAACAGCATCGGGAAGACCTTCAATCAATTGAGACATACTAAACATTGGTTCATCCGTCCACAGTAGTTCTTTGATAGGAAGTTGGTATCATATTGGATGAATATGTTGACAAAATATCTGAGATAAGAAGGGTATAAACATGGTCAGTAATGGACAAGTAAAGCTTTCAGAATTCCGAGATCAGTAGTCCATAACATGAACAAATATCACTGAAACTCATAAAACTCCAAAAGGGAGTTTAAAAACATAACAGACGGGCTTCCTGAATCCTATGGCACTCTATCTAGTATGCATCATTTACATTGTATGTCCTTGTAAATTTCAAAATTTGGCCATTTGCATCTATAAGCTGATTGTGTGGGACATACCATATTATACCGAGTTTTTAGAATATAGCCTATCGCTCCTAAGATTTTAAAACACCACAGAAACCAGTCATTTAAATTTCCATGGTGGTACATGTAGCAGTTACAAGGGGGGGGGGGGGGGGGGGGGGGGGGGGGGGGGGGTTGGGGAGTAAGTTTGCAATAACATGATATCTTCAATTGTACTGGCCTGAATTCAGTTCAACCAAAAACATCACTCAGAATGAAGGAGCTGGGTGCTACATATGGATTAGCAAAATCGATTCAAACGGTAAATGGTTAATGAAATGTTAATAGGCACTCACTTCGGCAAATGATAGCACTTTTACCTGTCATAATCTCTCAATCTTTTAATTGAGTTCAAAACAGAGGCAAACCACAAAAGGGACGTATACAGAAAGAATGAAAAAAAACCACATTGCTAAGCTTGACAAGTTGCTACTCCCAGTCTCTTGAAACCACGATGAATTCGTCGCTTGTGCTAAGATAGAGTGAAATTTCACCATAGGTAACCTAATTGTAAAATATAATATGTACTTTTTTTGTGACATTTGAATAAATCCATGTACTGGCGAAAAATTCAATTCAATTGTAACAAGAACAGAACCAGCAGTTCCTTTCTCTGGGTGCAAAATTAGCCAACAACTTGAAGCCTAAAAAGATTACTAGATAAGAGTCACCCCAGATGGCAATAGCAGCAAGAGAAAAAAAAATATGTTGTTATTGCTGAAAGTAGGTTCAATTGAAAAAAAAAGGGCCCCGGAAGGAGAAAAAGAGCAGTATGTGACAATCATATCTTTCCAGTGTCAGCTATAAGAAATTCTTTCTCGGCAACAGCAACCATATAATTGCAGAGATTCCATTTTCTTGTATCTTAAAATGATAAGTCCCACAAGCTTGACAGAACCGACATCCCAAAATCATGGACCACAGAACTGGAAGAAGCCAAAAGTGAAATGGAAAGCACGGAAAAACAGAACGAGCACCTGCACTGTGCAGAGCATTTTTCTCAGCAAGTCCTCTACTACCATCTAAACCAAAGGAAGAGGAAAAGGAGTTCTAAGTGAGGAAGCATCAGCAGGATAAAAGAATAATAGCAAAATGAAAGTTCTAAATTGCCTAACTTACTTCATATTGGGACAACTAGGAAGCATCAGCAGGATAAAAGACTAATAGCATAATGAAAGTTCTAAATTGCATAACTTATTTCATATTGTCATGCTGTCCTCAACTGATAGAGTTCTATGCTGTCAGATGTTTACATGCATATATAATTGATTCCGTTACTCTGATGAATCTCTCCCTTTTGCCAGCATTTCGCAATCAAGACTCCAATTGTCTGCCTAACTATGTTAGCACAATCAAGTTCACATCTCTTGACATATGAGCAAACCTGAAGCCCAACAACCAGTATCAATCTTTATCCAACTGCTTAAATCCCTCCAGTGGCTAACAACAATGACTCAAGCCAATTCCATATACAACACCTCATGCAGTTGAGATGATAAGTTCACCACTTCAAAGGAACCAGTTTAAAATGGTTGAGACTAAGCTTTTGGAACACAGAGTCTTCGGCTCAATAGTTAAGAACAAAATAATTTGTCCCACTCCAACCATTGAGCATGCCAATAATAGGTCGAAAGCCATTTGAAGTTCTGGGGAACCCCACAACCAATGATCTCACCTTCCAAGTTAGAATTGCAAACATAAACATAGATTAAGTTTTTAAGCTGTAGACACACACCCATCGAACTCAATTCCCACAACACCAATTCACCAGCAAGTAAAAACTCGCACGAAACTCAAGATGTCATCAAAAGCCGCAAGTCTAAGCTCCCAAAATCGGGAGTTGGGAGCACCCATAAACAGACCGTGCAAACACCGGAACAAAAGAAAAAACAACATTTCCCCGCACACCCAGAACGCAGACGACACTGGCAATAGGTTTAGCATCCAGCGAAATTAAGTGCCTTGAAAACGGAACAAATTCTTCGCGGTGCAAAACACCAATTCAACGACAGATAGATAGAGATTGAGACGTGGCTTACCTTTGGAAGCTACGGCTGCTTAAATTCTCGGCGTGAGGATGAATTGCGGGGACACTAGCGAGCACCGCAGTTGGAAGGAGGACGCAGCAGCAGAGAAACCTTTTGGCTGTGCTGTGAGTTTGTGCGCAGGGTAGTGATGTGATTTTGGATCGGCGATCAAATGAAATGAAGCAGTGAAATCGAAGGTAGCAGAAGAGACGGAAAAAAGATTGTCGTCGTAGAAAGGTTAAGGATTTGGAAATGCAGGAAATTTAGAGAGATGTACAATCGGCGGTGGAACTGGAAGGAGAGGAGGGGTTATATTTTTTCATACGATTGCTATTCGTCGCTCTAAAAATTTTTATTTGTTGTCCTAATTATGTTAAATTTACAAGTATATTCTTAGAGTTAATTGCATCGTTGGTCACTGAAATTACAAAAATGTTCAAGTTTGATCACTCGAAATATTTAAATCCATTGATGGTACTTCAGTTTACTCAAACCGTTGACGTTTAGTCACTCTCCGTCCAACTCTCTTAACTTTGACTGATGTGGCAGTCAACTCTCAAAGTTGATCGTTAACTTAGTGACGTGGCAACGAAAAAATTATTAAATTTTTTTTTATATTTTCCGCCTCATTATTACATTCATTAAAAGATCAAAAAATAAAAAACCTAATTACTTTTCTATTCTTCACCTACTGGAACCGGTCCCACTAAGAAGGCGTGCGCGAACTAGAAGAAGGACCTGTCGATATCGGTGTTCAACGACATAATGACGCCCAACAAGTTCGACAATTTGTACTACCAGAACTTGCCCAAAGAGTTGGGCCTGCTGGCGTCGGACCACGGGCTCGTCGCCGACGGCCAGACTCGGCCGTTTGTGGAGCTGTACGCCAGGGATCAGAACAAGTTATTTCTTTTCTTGCTTGATACAAAGTAAAGCTCTTTCTTTCTTTCCTCCATCTCCCCGTATGAAAACCCCATCGATTCTGAGACGCTCGCAGAACCAAAAAGGACAGAACAACGATCACAACCCAAAGAAAAACCCATTTATAATTTATAGTCATAGCATTGTAACAACCTTCAAATTTTTAATCCCAGAGAGATTGACCGACCATATATGAATCAATGGCATTCCAAAAAGAAGAAAAAGAATCCAATCCAATCCAATCAGTTGGCAGCATCACACCTGTGCCTAATCTCGCCTCTCCCCCCAGTCTTGATCCCGTAGACGCTCAGCTTCTGCATCGCCTTGGCGAAATCCTGGAAGAACTTGTTCTGATCCCTGGGGGTACGGGGTTGGGAAGGGTAGGGTACGGGGGTTTATAGAAAAGAAATTATATATTTTATTATTTGAGGTGGAAAATATGTAAAAAAATTATTTTAATAATTTTTTAGTTGCCACGTCACTAAGTTAACGGTCAACTTTGAAAGTTGACTGCCACATCAGCCAAAGTTAACGGAGTTGGACGGAGAGTGACCAAACGCGAACGGTTTCAGTAAACTAAAGTACCATCAATGTATTTAAATATTTCGAGTGACCAAACTTGAATGGTTTTTGTAATCTCAGTGACCAATCATACAATTAACCCTATATTCTTAGTTTATATTTTGTCATTTGAAGACTTAAACCCTAAAACAAACACACGAATTCACTTGTCACCAGAACCGACGACCTCATAGCCACAGCCGACCACCTTAAACCATTTCGTCGCGAGTGTACTGCGTTCATCCATCGTTTAAGTTTGGTTGCCAAGACTTCCGCTCTTGTTAACCCACCCAGCCAGTAACAATATTGTCTTGAAACCCGACATGCCCACCATTTGATATTCAAAACTATCGTTTGCAGCACAATCCATGATGAATATACATATAGAGAAGCTCTCAAACTTCACCCACAAATTACCCCCTTCGACAAATTCAACTTCTTTCAGTATGTGCCCATCTCATGAACCGGACATGTAAGTGTATCGAGTTTGGGATCCAGCTAGAAGCTCAACGAGTTTTGCTATGCATACAGAACACATTTACAATGTGCAATCAGTCCAAGTACAAGTAAACTATTGTTTTTCTTCTCCTTCTCGACAATCGCAGCCGACGCGATGTGGGAAATAAAAGGGTGGTGGGTTGGGGGAATGAGAGCGACGGAGGGTTCTGGGAACGGCAGCGGCTGCCGGAAGTAGGCTGGTGGATAGGACGGCATAAGGAGGTAGTGATTAGGGAATTGGAGTTAGGGGTACAAACGTCTATTCAATTTGGTTTAGGGCGAAATTTTTAAAAATTTAGGGCGACGAATAGCGATTCAGCTGTTACAAACGTGAAAGTTGTGGCTCTAACTGCCACAAACGTGAAAGTTGTGGCTACAAAAATGTATTTTCCTTTTTTTTGTTGATCCACGTGGATCGCCAACTCAGCACTTCCGTCAGCCCAGTCATACTACTAAGTGACACCGTTAAAGAGATGGACAAAAATGACTATTTTGTGTATTTCAAAAGTTGTGGTTATATTTGTCGCAAACGTAAAAATTGTGGCTATAAGTGTATTTTCAATTTTGTCTATGTTTGAGAATTGTTCATTAGGGTGTGTGTAAGACATGATTCATAGAAAAGGTAAGTTTGAGAAAACTGCTCAAATATATTTTAGGGCGACGAATAGTGATCCCCTTGTAACAGTTATAGCCACAACTTTCACTTTCGTGACAGTTATAGTCACAACTTTTGAAATACACAAAATAACCACTTCCATCCATTCATTTAACGGTGTCACTTAACAGTATTACTGGAGAAGGATGCCTTTTTTCATAATTGCTTATTCAGATCCCCAATCGCTAGATCGAAGAAGAAGGCCTTGAGCGCTTGGGGGGTCGCTGAAAAATGACGAGAAAGAGGACAAGAAGGCTGATGGGAAGAAGCTAACAACGACCACGAAGAAGAAGCTAACAGCGATGGTGAAGGCGGAGACAATGTCTTCGATGGCGACAAAGAACGATGGGTCGGGAAGGAAGGATGTGTTTGCAGTGCACTGAATGGTTGTTCTTATTTCCGGTGAAGCTCGATTTGTCGCTATCAATAGGCCCGATTCGTTGCATTCCCTCTCAAGCAGAGCCCTGAGAAGAAATCGAGGATACAGTCGCGACTGTTTTGTGTATTACGAAAGTTTGTAACGGAAATGGCTAGATTTGTCAAAAACCTATCAAACTTCTGGCTATTTCTTGTATTTCAAAAGCTGTGGCTATAATTGTCGCAAAAATGAAAGTTGTGGCAATGAAAGTGTATTTTGCCTAATTTTTTAAAAGTAAATTATGACGTGGCATCTACGTGGCAAGTGAGGCTGAGTTGTTGCTGACGTGTGCTTCAATTTGGCATCCTAGTCAGCGTGCCATTAACCTAAGTAACAGAATCTCTAACACCGTTAAAGTTTGCAATGGAAATGACTAAATTTGTCAAACAACTATCAAAATTCTGGCTATTTCGTGTATTTCGAAAGTTGTGGCTATATCTATCACAAACGTGAAAATTGTGGCTATGGAAGTGTATTTTGCCCTCAAACATACTCCTCCCTTAAAATTTTCATCCCAAAATTGTTGGGATAAATTACACGTTTCGTCACTCGAATTATACAAATCTTTCACGTTTGTCACTCGAATTACTTTTTTTTCTTATTCGCCACTAACTTTATGAATCGTTTCACTAGTCGTTACACTCTGTTAAATTTTTCCTACGTGGCAGTCAACTATACAGTTTGACCGATAACTAGATGACATGGAAATTAAAAAAATTAAAAATAAATTTATTTTTCCACCTCATCATACCACTTACTTTGTGATTTAACATATTAATTAATTAAAAAATTAAAAAAATAATAAATTACAAAATTTAATTATCAGCGGGAGGATAAATCTCTGGAGCTCTCTCGACGCTGCAAGCTGGGAGACCCCTATTTCGATGATGAAAAGTAGTATTAGTGGCGCTTTGGGAGGGAAAGGGAGGCTGCCAGTTTTTTCACTTTTTTGTTTCTTTAAAAAAGTAGGATGAGATTAAGATCTCAAATGGGGAGTGAGGAGGTCTTGTGATGGATGCATAGGATGTGGAGGCTCTAATATAGATAGTTGTTTAGTTTTGTAGTGTGTCATTTTGTTTTCCTATCGCCGATGCTCATGCATCTACGCTACCATTTCAGGGCGAGTTTGGTGACAGAATCGAAGCGAGTGAACAACATTGGCACCAGTGGGAGGAGATCGGCCTGCGCGTTGAGCGAGAGGCGATGGCAGCTCTGACCTTCGATCATGAGCCACCGACGGCTCAGCGATTGGAAAATGACAGACAAGCACTCATCTGGCATATACGAGATGCAATCACGCGCTTCGACGACCATGGAATCTTCGACTTTTTTAGTGTTTTCCACCCATAACTTTTGTAATTTATTAATTTTTGTTAAATAATTGATATGATAAAGACAAAGTAAGTGAAATGATAATGTGAATAAATATTTTTTTAAAAAATTTTCCACATCATCTAGTTAATGGTCAAACTTTATAGTTGACTGTCACGTAAGAAAGAAAAGTAATGTGGGTGGAAAACGTGAAAGATTTGAAAAATTCGAGTGACCAAACGTGTAATTTAGCCAAAACCGTTATATCAAATTGAACAACGATCCCAGCAATGTTGATGACATTTTTAAATGTTGAACATAATGAAAGCACTAAAAAAAAGAAGATCCAAAGGCCCCTTCCCTCTGTTGCTATCAACCCCCCTCAACCCTTCTCCTCTTCCTCAATGGTGGAGGATCTATCTCGATAATTGGGGCTTTGACTAGTTGATGGCTGCAACGACTTCAATTATTGTAAACGTCGTCGTTGCTCTTCTTCTCTACTAATAAATTTTTGAGATCTGAAATCCAAACCAAGTTCTTGGTGACCTTCACTCCAAACATTATTCTTCATCACCATCTTCCTCTTGGTCGCTTTCCTTTGAGTGGATGATAGTTAATGCCCTGATGAAACTTTTTTCCGACATTGAGTCCACCTCTGCTCATAATGTGCGCGGGCTTTAACTTACTAATTCCAAATAACAAAAAAAAGGGCTAATACCACTACAACACTCGAACTATCCGAAAAATGCCACTTGTGTTCTATTGTTTCCAATATTTCATTCATGTCCTGAACTATGGTACTTTGTGTCATTTGTATCCTGTCAATTTCGTTGACCGTTAAAGATAACGGTTGACCAAACAGTGGTCAACGCAAAGTTGACTTTTGTTGATGTGGCAAAAATTGTGGCTGCCACATAGATGCCACGTCACTGATATCATATTGTTAGATTCAAATTAAATAAAAATTTGAGTTAAAATTAAAAAAACTGTAAATTCAATTATATTATTAAGTCAAAATTTTTAAAAAAAAAATTAAAAATCCCATTATTCTTCTTCCCTACCGATTCGACCTCTCTTTCTCTAAAAAATCTCGAAGACGATTCCGATTTCCAGGCAATGAAGTCGCCGCATCATCTCCTTCTTCCCCCAATCCGACCCGGCAATGAAGACGATTCCGATTTCCATTTTCCAAGCAATGAAGCCGTCGCATCATCTCCTTCTTCCCCCAATCCGACCCGGCAATGAAGACGATTCTGATTTCCCAGATCCCATCAATGGCAAGATTCAGGGTCTCCCAACTCCACTTCAATGGCAGATCGACTATGTCGCAGTCGTGCTTCAGGGACAATCTCTGATTTCTTCGTTAGATGGACTTTGTTCTTTGCCCGCCGACTCCAAATTTGAAGTCCATTTGCTTCCCATCATTCTCAGCAGATCGCCTGCAAGGCCACCGTCGAGACCGAAGATTGATAATGAAAAGAATCAAGAGGAATCCCCTCGAATTTCTGGGTCACATAGAGGAAAAGAGAAACAGATCGATTGATGCATAGATAACAGGAGGAATCGGAGGGGCAGAATCATCAAGATTCAACAGTGGTCAATCCGACGGATCTGGGTGCTACGCTCTACGGCGGAGGAAGAACGACGATGTAGAGAGCCCGTCTGTTCGCCTATCCGACGGATCTGGGTTGTGCGCTCTGCGGCGGAGGAAGAACGACGTCAAGCTTGTCGGTTCTGTTTCCGCAACCGTGGCGCCGGTGGATCATTGTGAATGGTGGGAATGGATTTTAGACAAGAAAATCCTCCATAGTGGGCGCTGGCTCCGGATTTTGACGTATGGAGTTGGGACTCTAGAGCGGCGGCGGTGTTGGGCGATAGATCAGTGTGTGTATTGGAGAATCCGGGGAAGAGGCTCTACAAACCCTATTGTGGCGGCGATGGCAACGAGGAGGAGAGGAGGTATATTTTGGCCGGAATTCATTTTTGGGAGAAGGGGATGCAAGTCACGACACGGAGATGGGTGGGTGGGTGTGGGTATTTTCTTTTTATTTTATTTAGTTACCTTTTTGAAAAAAAAAACTCGTATTAAAAAAATTCCATGTCAGATGCTGACTGGATTTTCCGTTAAATATTAACAGTCAAAACCGGTCAATACTAACAGAAAAATAGTTCAGGGCACAAATGGAATACTGGAAACAATAGGACACAAGGGACATTTTCCGGATAGTTCGGGTGTTGTAGTGGTATTATCCCAAAAAAAAAAAAAAGCTTTTTGCCTGTTCTATGTGCTTAATTACCGGTGTGATCTATAGCTTCATCGCCATAGCACATATGCACTATATTTGGGAAAATAATTTTGGGTTTACATGTAGTATTATTGTTTGGTGTGGTATTAATCCGGCTAATACGACAAATAACACGTCATCAATGGGCTCAAGCCCACCACATGACCATTCTATATTACCCAAGCCTACTCCAAAGAAGCTTCAAGCACCTACATAAGGAGGCTCATGGCTCCAAGTCAAAGGATGCTCTCTTCCCTTCCTACACTCTTCACATACGGTTCTCTCTCTACTCTCTCTCTCTAATTCCACATACACCATTATTATATTCCGTACTAATTTGGACATCGGAGCGTAGATCTCTCAGTCGCCCTTCTCCTCCTTACAGGTTCCTCACCTCCCGAAGAGATCGGACAAGAAAGACCAGATCGGACCCCCTTCCCCCAATTATTATTATATTAGCCTTGGGTACTTTCTAGGATCAAACAATTTGGCGCCCACCGTGAGGCTCGATTTGGATATTCTATTGTTCAATTTATGAGGGAGGATGAAACCTGCTGAATCCAACAATCATGGAAGCAACAGGAAAAAGAAAGATTTTCCAGTAAAGCTAGGGAAAATGAAAATGGCATTTCCAGGTTCAAGACCCTGCCAAGAGCAAGAACGACCACGAAGAAGAAAGATCCGGATCTATCGATGTGAAATGGAAAAGAGGAGAGCACGAACCACCAACATCAATAGTTCTCATCCCCTGTCCGCCTAGCTGCTAGTCCCTGCCAGCGGCGACGTTTCCCCCTCTATGTGTTTTTCCATCACCAAATTTGCCAGGAAACAACAAAAAATAAAATCAGAGAAGCAACAAAAACCCCGCCAGTAAGGCTAGACGTCGTCACCGGCTGTGGCTCGGTCATCCGTCTCCACCTACGTCGATGCCAGCGAGTGAACCTGTAAATCAAGAAAAGAGAAGAAAGAAACAAAAAAAAAACAATAGTGATATTCCGGCAACTTCCTCGGCCAGAGCTATGCACATATCGGTGCTCCAATGAGAAGGAGAAGATTTTGCAGTCGCCATCACAAGCAGACGTCACATCAACCTCTCTTCCCCAAAAGTCAATGATTTTCTCTCTCTGCCCGAAGAAGCAGACGACAATGTTACCGAGGTGGACGGCGGGGACATCGAGACCATGCTTTAGAGGCGAAGAACGCTTTCCGGATGGGATTCAAGCCTAGCCTCGAAAGCAAAATACTAATTATGCTCAAGAAAGTAATATGAGAAAAAGTTCCAAAGCACTCGTCTAGAAGTAGTGCAGTAAAAGAAGCTAAGGTGAAGGCGACTGACGCTCGAAGGATAAAGACCCAACACAGTGAGAGAAATAAAAATGAAAATGTGCATTTACTCTAGGAAAGTTCTGCAGGTGATTCCAGGCGCTTCTTCCCTTTTTTGTAGTAACTGGAATGGATCACCGCATCTTGCAGTCACAAGGTTCAAAGCAGAAACAAATTTAGCCAAGTATAGCAGAATGGTATGGATAATGATGGTAAACGAATTATTGAGGGAGCGTTGCAGAAGGCTTTATGATGGCAAGATCCTTGTAGAAGAACAACTAGTAAAGAAGATCTAGGATCTCCTAAGACTATTAAAATGTGGTGTCCATGTTGCTGCTTTGATTCTTTCTGATAGGCTGTTAGACAGTGTTGCCAATTAGACAGTGTTTGTAAATGTCTGTATTAGGCTCTTTGTTGTTGTTTTATCTTGTAGTCCAATGGTCTGATGAACTTTGTAATGGGGTTTGAGAATTTTTTCAGTTAGGATGACAGTCTGTCATTCCTTTCTTCATGAATAAAACACCTTATTCATAAATAAATAAAATTAAAGCAAATGCGGCGGAGACACACCAAGCCAAAGAAGAAACAAAACCACAAATTATCCATAAACAACATGGTCAATTGAAAGCTTTTTCCTTATTGTCAATTAAACTTCTTCACTCTCCATTCGATAATATCAACTTCATTCTACACAATTAGAAAGAAAAAATTAGACATGTCTCCATAAACAGATAAAGAAGATTAGTTGTTTAGAGTATTAAATATACCGAGAAAATTAATTATATGGGTGTGGGGGAGTACCCATGGGGCGGGTATACCTAAACCCAAATCCAACCCGGTGAATAGGGCACGGGTTTAAACCCGAACCCGACCCAAAACCCGTCAACATGGATTTTACTAGGGGTGGGCATCGGGTGGGTCAGGCGAATTTTCACCATAAAACGCACCCACCCGCGCTTAAATGAATTAATAATTTTCAACCCACCACCCACCCGCATTTAGTCTCGGGTTGGGTCGGGCGGATGATGGATGATGCGGGTGAGTTTGTGGGTTCACTCACATCACAATGTATATAATATAAAGGAGTCAACTTGACGTGATAATCGGTGGAGAGAGTTATCGTGTGGAAACAAGAAGATGGAATAGGGGAAAGAATGTCGAGTTAGTTTCTGAAATTGGATAGAAATTCTATTATGGAGGATTTTTCTACAGATGGAGATGATTATCAAGTGCAGGAAACTAAGAAAAATAATTCAACGGAAGAAAGAGAGGTGATCTAGGCACAAGAATCAGAGAAAAAAATAGAGGGAAAAGAGGGGATCGCTATTTGAAAGGTTGGTTTTGAGGTTCAATCTCCAAGAGCATCCCTAGTTTCCGTCTAACATCTCCAATCTCCCCTCTACAGCGCCAACGACTTTGTTCTTTTTGTTGTTGGGTTGAGCGGGTCACCCGCGGACCCGCCCACAACCCACCCGTCACCCGACGGATGACTCTCAACGCCACCCACCCACATAACGAAATTCGGGACAAAAGCGGGTGGGTCGGCCCAAACCCGCGGGTGATCCGCCCGTATGCCCAACCTTAGGTTTTACCCAAATTGATCGGGTTGGGTCGGATACAGTACCCGTGGGTTCGAGTTTGGTTGCCATCCTAAATATGATAGGGCTGCTGCCAACTGAATGTGAATTTTGATGCCGGATCTTTACACAAGTTTCATGCGGCAATTTAAGTCATTGCATCCAGTATTCACTCATCCAACATGATATCTTCAAACACAACCGAAGCGCAAGAAGGATGAATAAAAAAAGCACCGAAACATGTGCACAAGGTTGTTAAACCCCTATCGAACCCCCCGGTTGGACCCGGTTCAACCCGAGTCGGGCTTCAAAACGGCCTCCAGAAAACCCCCCGGTCTGATCCCTAAACAGGAAGAAGAAGAGAGGCAGAAGAGAGGAAAAGGAACGAAGGAAGGGAAATGGTTGGTGGATCATGGAGGTTAGGTAGATTTATTTTGTTGAAACTAAGTTTTTAATAGATATATGTAAGATAAATTTTATTTCACTCATTAAATTTTTAATTACTACTTTATTTGTATATATATTTAGAAAACGTCTAAAACGGCTCAAACCGGCCGGACCCCGATCAGACCATTAAACCTCAAACCCCTTGCTTGACCGGCTCAATGACTTAAACCGGTTTGACAACCTTGCGTGTGCATGACTGCATGCAATCACTGCCGCAAAATTGACAAGAGTACTAATTAACACATATATTTAATTTACTGCTACCCTAGACCCTAGTTACCTAGTTGAGCTTTGGTATTGATCAAAGTTGTCAACCCGCAGGTTGTTCTGAACCCAGTTGAGTTAGTGGGTCAAGTGTTAATTGGTTACCCGTTTTAGCTCGAAAATATATAAAGAGTCATTATATTATACTTATCCTTATAAGTTATATTAAATCTCATCTAACATATGAGTAATAACATATAGCATTACACCAAAGTAAAATGTCATACTTAGATCCAACATATAGTGAAATTCACACAAACTTATATAACATCAATATTCAAATGTTCAACTAAGGATTCCAATGATTGAGTTAGGCGGAAAAAAAAATCGAAAAATAGGCGCATTTCGCAAACCAAAGAAAAAAAGGACACAATTTGACCTCCAATCCGATACCTTGTAGCGATCGACCCGACGGGTGTGTGCGACCCATTTTTCTCATCGGGGCAGGATCAAAGTGGGTCGACCCCGGATTGACAACCTTGGTATCGACGAAAGGAAATCCAAGAGCTCGAACCAACTTTCCCTTTTTGCGATGAAGTGATTTATTGTTGAGAAGAAAACCAACTTCCTCTCCCAAAAACGCCACGCCTAACCCACCAACTCTCAACACCCTCGCTCACCTCCCACAGCTTTACTTCTCACAGTGGCCAAAACCCCAATCCAGAAGGAACACAAGAAAAGCAAGTTAGTTCTAGTGGTTCAACTCCAAAAACGACGTCCCTTTCCTCCATTCCTATATTCTCCTTGCTACCAATTCATAAATAAATACAGTCGCAAGCTAGCTCGCAAGTATATACCAATCAATGAAGATGGAGGGCGTGAAGCTCGGGATGTGTCGACTGCAGGTTGTAGCAGTAATGATGATGTTGGTTCCAGCGTTGATCACGGCGCAGATTAGCACGCCGTGCACGGCTTCGATGGTGACCAGCTTCACGCCTTGCGTCAACTTCGTGACGGGGAGCAGCGGCAACGGAGTATCGCCGACGGCCAGCTGCTGCGGTGCGCTCAAGGACGTGGTGGCGGCGAGCATGGACTGCGCCTGCCTTTTGCTCACCGCCAACGTCCCCATTCAGCTGCCCTTTGGCCGAACTCCCTCCGTCTCCCTCCCCAAGGCCTGCAAGATGGGCGTCCCCCTGCGCTGCAAAGGTACTGTTATTGTATTTTGCTGACAATGATGGTTGAAGTCGATCGGAATAATTAGTTTAGTTCGCAGATTCGATCCTCAATTCGAATCCGTTGAATGGGTCGGATTGTATCCATCCACTAAAATATTCGATTAATCTAATTTATTTTAATTCAATCTATTTAATCCAAATTCAATTGAATTCATGAATTGTTGGTGAACTACAGTTTATTATCTCTATTTTTTATATTTACAATTGATACCTAAATTTTATTTTTAATAGAAACATTCGTTCAAAAAATTATATTTTGGTACCTAAACATTTTTACTATGACATTTTAGTACTTCAAAAAAATTTAAAAAATTTGTATTTGTCCAATGTCAATATACCACTTGGAAGTTGGATCTATGAATCTAATCCACCAATTCATTTGATCCAGACCATAAATTTACCAATCCATTTGATCAAATTCTGAATCACCAGTCCATTTGATTCAAATTCGTGAATCCACCAGTCTAATCCAATTTCCACATCTATTTTTATTCTTTATTCGCTCGCTGATGTTATCCGAGTCATATTGCATTGATCAACAGTACATAAACGTTACTCATTACATATTTAATAAAATTAATGATCTATTGTACAGTTTTTATACAATTAATTGGAATATGTCACTATTTTTATTCTCTTTCATTTCTGATTATTAGAAAATTGAAGATTTTTATTTAAATCAGAATCTTATGATTTCACAATGGTTCGATTTACAATATTACTTTACCGCTCGGAACTTTCCGATTTTGTAACGATTTTACTTTACCACTCTACTTTTTTTTTTTTTGGTTGATTTTACGTGAATTTACGATTTTGTCTAAAGTTCTTGTCTTGCGTGTTTCACTTGCTGAGGTGTGCAGCTTCTGGATCTCCTCTGCCAGCACCTGGGCCTGCCATTTTGAACCCATCCTCACCACTTGGGCCTTCAGCGGCGGCAGCAGGCGTAGCCGATGCGCCAGCTCCAGATTCCACGGTGACGCTGCCACTGTCACCCGCGATCCCGCCGGAAGCAGACAACCCCACGGGCGGGGCTCGACCTGTTGTGAACGCGGCCTCGGCGTCTCTTCCATCACACGATGTGCTATCCGCTGCTTCCCTGCTTATAGCCATGGCGATCCTACTCGTGACTTATTATTGTTTCTGAAGAAAAAATCCAACGGAGAGACATTTCTAATTCTGTTGCCTTGTCGATTTAATTCTACCTAAAGTGGAATTTTGTTTGTTTGTTTGTGTGTGGAACACATATGGTTATCTATGGCACAATTGTTTTGGTTACCAAATTAAGAGGTGAAAATAGAAAATGGACTAACGCAATACAAATATTTTATCCCTGATAAGTTTAAGGAATTAAGGTAAAGAGATAGCCGAAAACTCACAGATGGAGCAGGTAGTGGGTCCGGATCCCATTATTAACTTTTTTGTCAGTAATTGTCAGTAATCAGTTCATCTACCGTCCATTGCATTTAATTCGTAATCATCAGATCGGGAAAATTAAATACACGGAGGGGCAAAATCGTAATAATGTCAACCCATTTAATGATGATACGGAGTTTTGACCAGGTGCGGTCCCCACAATGACTCTCACTCCCATGTCTTCCTCCCTCTTTTTCTCAACCTAAAACTTTAATTTTAACAATAAATACGAGTGGGTTGGGACTGGTTAGACGAATAGGTCAGTTTGCGGGTGTGTTTGTTCACCTATGCATATAGGTGTCAATCGGGCGGGTTCGGGTCGGGTCCAGTCGGGTCGCGGGTTAATCGGGTTGCGGGTCAAGTGGGTTCGGGTTGATCGGGTTGCGGGTTGATCGGGCTGCGGGTTGATCGAGTTCGGGTTGATCGGGTTGCGGATCAGTCGGGTTACAGGTTGATCGGGTTGCGGATCAATTGGGTTCGGGTTGTTCGAATTGCGGGTTACAACAGGTCGGGTTGCGGGTTGTTCGGTCCACACCATCGAGTTTTTTTATGATTAGTTATTACACTATTTTTTTAGGGAGTTACTACATTACACTAATTTAAAACAAACTCACCGATCACCATATTGCAATGAATAAAACATGAATGTACATTATTAAACAAATGAATGACTAGATTTTGCTTGAATATATCATAAACAAGTTTGATGTTGCTAGTTGTTGGTACCTTTTAGAGGATTCATTAAGGTTACAGAACCAACATAAATAAATAGTTGAACAACAAGAAATTAAAAAGCTGACAACTTGTTTGATCATAAACCTATGAAACCATCTCTTGAATCTTGATAGTTGAGAGTTGAGACTGTACATGGGCGCTGGGCCGTGCTTGGGCCGGCACGGCACATGCCCATCTCGTGCCCATATTTTTCGTGTCGTGCTAGGCACAGCCCATTAAATTTCGTGCCGTGCCATACAAGCCCATTTAACAGTTTTATTAGGCCCGGCCCGGGCCCAAGCACGAGTCAAGTCGTGCCGTGCCTGATTATGTCTATGTCGTGCTTTTATTTTGTTCACATTCGTGCTTATTCGTGCTTTCTAGTATAATTTAACTTTCATGCTTATTTTATATGGTAACACACGCTTTTAATATTCCTTACTCATCGAGTTTTTTATATGGGTTGCGGGTTGTTCGGTCCAAACCATCAAGTTTTTTTAATAATTAGTTACTATACTAATTTAAAACAAACTCATCGATCACCATATTGCAATGAAAAAAAACATGAAGATACATTATTAAACAAATGAGTGACTAGATATTGCTTGAATATATCATAAACAAGTTTGATGTTGCAAAAGATTCATTAAGGTTACAAAACCAACATAAGAAATTAAAAAGCTGACAACTTACTTGATCATAAACCAATGAAACAATCTCTTGAGTCTTGATAGTTGAGACCATTACATGATGTTTAAGCAAATACAATAGAATGAAATACAGAAAAGTACATAAGGCTCCATCAATCTTGAAGATTTCTCTTACTGCACATCTTAAGATGCCTCCACAGTGAAACTTTCCCATTCTTATTAGGATAGCATCCAAAAACCTTCATGCAATGGTTGCATTGAAGCTTGACCTCCCCCTCTGATTCAACTTGAGTGAAATTCTCCCAAATTTTGCTTCTTCTAGCCCTGGCGTCCATTGCTTATGAAAAAAAGAAACGAAAAGAAAAGAATTACATAATCAATCAAACAAGAAACAACAAACACAATAACATGAACGTGCAGCAACAATGTATGTTGATGAAGACGACCAACATGATTTAGTAGTGAATCATCTTGGCTAGCTAATTAAATTAGCTAATAGTCAAAAAAAGGAAACGATTACTAATTTTATTGATTGTTGAATTGGAAAAGAAGCAAATTGCAGAGGAAATTAGTGGTATTGTAGCTATTGCAGAGGAAAGGTAAAACAAAAAAGGTAATACTTGGGGCCTTAGGCAATACCAGTTAATTATTCACGACTACCATATATGATCAGACATTAGCAGAACCGTTAGTTACTAGAAAGGGTTTATCAAATTCATTTCGTAGGAAGGCTAAAAACTGGAAGTGCGAGCACTAGCTAGTTTGTTAGAGTAGAATATACCACAAATCAAGCCCACTAGCTAATGAAGAATCCATGGAGGGGAAAAGTCCACTTCACCTACAATTGTAGAATTGCATCACATGTACATGGTACCACAAAATGCCAGAGAAAGGAAATATCTGGAAAATACCTAGCACACAAGTGTTAAAAAGGGATATTAAACAATATCCATAAGTGATTAGTACATGTGAAACACCCAGCAACCACCAACTGGTAACTCGTTTTTCATGGCTTACGTTCATTACAGGGGTGACTTATAATTGAAAGATAAAATATAGTTATATCAAAAGCCAAAGCAAACCCCAATATTCAAACCACGACGACAGAGCATATCAGTATATTACAGAGTGTGTGGATGCAAAAGGAGTAAAAATAGATTTGTACATAACAGAGATTAGGTACGCAATAGAGAGCAAAACAACACATAAGTGAACAATTTTATATTCGGTCGCAGTCGCAGACAAGAAAGATCAAATCTGGTTCAATTTTTCAGTATTAAAGAGGGTGGATGGACAAAAGAATGAGCTTGCTATATAGATTTATAGATTTAATTGTAAAAATACTCACTTCAAAATCATCGAACAAGAAAACTATGTACATCCAGCCTTACAAACACCAAGTGCCCATTGAAATAGCACAAGAGCCTTGCCTCTCGTGTCTCGTCTATCATCCAATATTCTCACTCTCGTTTCTTGCCGACCTGCGCGGCTGCGCCGAGAAGAGGACGACACTCACCTACAGTCCTCCTCCGCCGCTGCTGCCGCTAGTTCGTCTCCGCCGTCGATCCTCACCTGTGCCGAGTAGAAGCCCCTCACCTACAGTCCTACGCTGCCGTCGCTGCTGCCGCTAGATCGTCTCCACCGTCGATCCTCACCTGCGCCGAGTAGAAGTCCCTCACATTTACAGGTAACATCGTCCAAACTTTCAATCTTTTCGTTTAATGTTTTGAGCTAAGCAGTTCCATTTTATCCCGCCGGTGGCCCTGTTGGGTTTGGCAATGGCATAGAATAATAATGGGTGATGAATAGAGTTCTACCACCTTTGTCAACCTGAGCTGGATTTGGATAAGAGCAGACAGAAAGCTATTACTCAGTGCAGAAAAGTTGGTCCTTTGTTGCAAGGTAGCTGAATGTCGACAATTTAATGATTTATGTAGTTAGGTTTGGAAATGAAATCTTGATGCTAGGCATAACTGAGCCCGATTCGACTAATGAGTAATAGACATATAACTAGACGCAAAGGGAAACGGACGCAAATTAATGGTTATTAATGTTTTGGCAATTGCAAATAACTCAGAAATGGACGCAAAGTGAAGCATCTTGGTTTATAATTCTCTGTTGTGTTTCACTAGTTATTAATATATATGTTGAATCTGCAGAAATGGACGCAAATAACTCAGAGAGAGAGAGAGTGTTTCTGGTAGCTCTAGTCCATTTTCAATTCCTAAACCGAAGGCTAATTCCCATCGTAGATCAGATGTGTGGGAAGATGTCGAATTATTCGACTCTGTTGATGATGAGGGAGTCGCTGTTAAGAAAGGAAAATGCAACACTTGCGGCAAGATATATAAGGCGGGTGCAAGAGAAGGCACATCAACTCTGTGACGTCACGTTAAAAGCTGTAAGAAACTCCTATCTTCAAATTTGAACTCGGATGCAAGTCATTCACTTGGGCCTAACACATGTGATAGTTGTGGTCACAATAAGATAACTCAGGAAGGCTTTCGTGACAAGCTAGCATCAGCAACAATTATGCATGATTATGTTTTTAGATGTGTTGAGCATATTGGAAATAGAGAGGTGCATCATTACCTAAATAGTAATGCTAAACCAATTTCAAGGACCACACATAAATATGATATCATGAAGATGCATGAAAGAATGAAAGTTGAGCCGAAGTCTGATTTGCAAAAGAATTCTAGTCGTATTTGTTTGACAAGTGATATGTGGACTTCATTGACAAGTAGAGGGTATCTATGTTTGACAGCTCATTATGTTGATGATGAATGGAAGTTGAATAGCAATCTTTTGAGTTTTTGTCATCTTCCTCCTCCACATTCAGCTTATAGAGTGAAAGCAACAGTTTATCGTTTGCTTAGGGAGTGGGGTATTGATAGCAAGGTTTTCTCTATCACATTGGATAATGCTAACAATATGACTACTATGCAAAATGAATTGCATGATTAGTTGAATGCACAAAATGGATTATTATGTGCTAGCAAGTTCTTCCATATACGTTGTTGTGGACATATACTGAATCTTGTTGTCCAAGATGGGTTGAAGGTGATTAGAGATGGTATCAAATCTGTTAGAGAAAGTGTCAAGTATGTTGAGGGATCTAAAGGAAGAAAAAAAAAGTTTAAGGAGTGTGTTGAACAAAGTGGGATGAAACAGTCAAAGTCGTTGTGGCTTGATGTGCCAACAAGATGGAATTCAACTTACAATATGATTGATCGAGCAATCTTTTATCGTGAAGCTTTTGTCAACTTAGCAAGGATGGATAATGAGTATAAGGATTGTCCATCAAATAATGATTGGGAGAAAATGGAGGTGCTTGCAAAATTTTTGAAGTCATTTAATGAAATCACGAAGTTATTCTCGGGAACCAAGTACCCAACAAGTAACTTGTTTTTCGAGAATGTTTGGAAGATCCATCTTGAGCTGAAAAATCTTTGTATAAGTTTTGATGATGATATGAGAGGTATGGGAAACACAATGATGTCCAAGTTCTTGAAATATTGGAAAGACTACAACTTAGTGCTTGCTTTTGGTGTCATTTTGGATCCTCGTTACAAGCTTGCATTTGTCAAATTTTGCTATGAAAAGTTGGGCGAAGAGTACACTTTAAAGCCGAAGGCTATTATGGATGATTTGGAGCTGCTCTTTAAGGAGTACAAAACTCAATCGTCCACTTTACCTAGTCAAAGTGTGGTGCATATGGCATCTCTGAGTGTTCCTTTGGATAGCCACACTGATGTAAGTATTCTAACTACCTTTTGAGTCATCTTGTTGTTTATACTTCTTTCGATCTTATGTCTGATTATTGATGATATGTATTATTTTCTGGGTTTCTATGCTTCCAATATCAATCAGAACACATCAACTAGATCCGTGTTGGAGTTATATTTGGCGGATCCTTTAATTCCTGCTTATGCAGACATTGATGGGGTTCCTACATTGCTTCCTTTTGAAGTATTGCAATATTGGAAGGATCATCAATTTTGATATCCTCAACTCTCTCGGATGGCAAAAGATGTGCTTTCTATTCCAATTTCATCAGTTGCTTCAGAGTCGTCTTTTAGTTTGGGAGGTAGAATATTATCCAAATGGAGGACTTCCATTTTGTCTGATACCCTTGAAGCTGTTATGACAACTCGTAATTGGATGCATGGATATAAAATGGGTAAGAAAATTTCTATTCTTTGTGTATACTAAAGTAGGTGAGAGTTTACTTACAATGGTGTTTTTACTTTCAATGACTAATTGTACAGATGAGGATAATGAAGATGCAGAATATGATGGAGAAGAACTGAAGCTTGTTGATTGATCGCCAAGTGAATTGCCATTTTAATTTGTGAACCTATTTTGTTGGTACGTAAGATGTGACAATGTCAGCTATGTATTTGTATCCTACTATTTTTTATATGGTAGAACTTAGTAAGCAAACTATTATGTATCTTCTTATTATTGGGGCTAGGGTATGAGTTATGACTTATGTACTATTATGAATCTTCGTATGCTAGGTTAATATTTTGACAATGTTATGTGACCAGTTATATTATGCGTAGAAGAAAAAATATTGTAATTATTAGGTACTGATATATGATTGGCTTAATTAAGTCAATCATGTTTTTCATATGTATGTGTTATCTATATATATTATTTATATACATCAACCAAATGTAAAAAATGTTGACAACCCTCCTAGGATTTCTACTTATCTACCGAGACAGTGAGACTATTATGTGATTCAATTAAATGACAGTTTGTATTTGTCAACACAAAGTAAACCTTTGTTCTTGGTGGGAAAGATGAAAAAATAATAGGGCAAGTCACATAAACTTTATATATATATTATCTATATATAATATTTATGCAAAAAAATATATTATGTAGTATTATTCGTGCCAGTCGGGCGGGTTCGGGTTGGGTTAATCGGGTTCGGGTTAGTCGGGTTACGGGTCTAGCGGGTTGCGGATCAAGCGGGTTCGGGTCAAGCAGATTGCGGGTCAAGCGGGTTACGGGTCGGGCGGGTTGCGGGTCTTTGACTTTTAGTCTAATCGGGTTGCGAGCGGGTCGCGGATTGGGTTGGTTGGGCGGGTTAGAGGATGGGACTTAATTGTACTAAATCACTGTATATGACAGGTCATGGGGCCGAGTGGGAGTGGTAAAACTTGGTTGTTACTTGTTAATAAGGAGCACAGTCAGCAGTGGCTGGTCTTTGGAATTTGATTCCCTTGGTGGGGTTCCGTTTGGCGTTTCAGCAAAAATTTCCACCTTCGCGTTTCAGATGGCCGTTTCCGTTTTTGCGCGATTCGTCGCTTAGCGTTTCTGGCACTTTCTCTCTCCCCTTTATCTAGGCGTTTTTGGGCCTTCCACCGCCTGATTTGGGAACCCAATTTCAAGAAAGCAAGACGAGGAGAGTAGGGTTTTAAATCTAGCGATTAGCGAATATCCGATCAAACAGCGGAGAAGAACCAAGAGAAGAAGAAGTAGAAGGCTCAGCAAAATTCAGAGTCGGAAAGAGGTATCAGATTGGCAGATGTCGTTCCTGTGGGAGAAGAGTGAGACATGGCGATGGCTGGTGAGGAGGACGAGGGACTCCAGGCCCTTCTTCTTTGGATTCGCCACTGTCTGCGGGGTCGTTCCCGGCGTCATCGGCTATTGCGTTATGCAGCTCACTAACTCCCGAAACCCAGAGCTGGAGCTCCGTCTCCGACAGAATGCCCGCCCCGACTCCACCGTAAGCCTCTCTCCACCTTGCCCTAGCTTGTTTCCCAAATTGAATCTGCATGCCCAACTGTTTGTTCTACTTCCTCCTTTCCCAAGACTTGCCCTGGGGGAAATGGAACCCACGAATGGTTTGTTATTGGGTCTTTTCAGGAAATAGAGTAATGTTCATGCGATGCTTTAGCGTTTAGTCCTACTCCCCAACCATATATCTACTAGTGCTTTCCTGTAAAGGATGCCCAAAATCCCGATTCCTCTGTTACTCTGATTGAACCACAAGCGAGGGAGAGTAGAGCGTGCTCAAACTTCTTACCTTGCCACTTAGAATGAGGGGGGCTCTCCAAAACATTAGCTCTCACCAGCCTGATTCAGTGAAGTTATGGATTTGCTATCACGCACGAATCCGGTCAATCTCTAGTTGGCTTGCCTTCGTGCTAAAACATTTTCTAAGATCTTTGACTGGTGTCTGGTCTGCATCATTTTGAACAACAAGTCCTGTCAGCATTTTGGCTACAGGTATATATGAGTTGGATGTTGTGCACTGCACTAATGACCAAAACCCACCTTAGGAATTAGGCCCTCAGTATTCATCTTGGACCTGCCAATTATACCCTATAAAATAGCCTGAAAGTTCAGACCCTCAATAGTGATGCTGATGTTTTCTTCCTGAGATTGTGCATACAGTACTCTGCAGTCAACCCTGTGTTATATGATCAAATGTCGATTTTAACCTACTCTGTTGTCCTACTAGTGTATACCCCCTTTTGCGTCCATCTTATCTCTTGAAATGGAACGTGTTCATCATTCAAACATCATAGAACATGATACTCTAAACCCTTTGTTCGTATCTCTTGCCGATGAACCCAGAGTGTTGTAAAAGAGGGAGTGATCAGATCAGATTGCATACATAGTGTTTCCTTGGTACAACTTATTCTAACAAAGTTTATTGCTGAATGTTTGGGTAGATGATGGGTAGAGTTAATCAAGAGAGACTAGCTGAGTACCTCGGGGAGCTGCAAAGGAAAGAGGACACAAATGACCGATATGTAGCTGCTTTGAGAGGAGAGACATTGACCAGGAAACCTTATCAGAGAATTCAGCCAATGAAAGAGCTGACGAAAGCTGCAGCGAACCAGGATCAGCATGTGGGGAAGATTTCTCAGAAACGGGCTGGCTAGAATGCTCCTAATCTTGTTATTGTTGGGTTTCCGCCTACTAGAATGTGTGGCGTGCCAAAGAATAGAAGTGAACACGGTCTTATGTAACGGATTATCGTGTTAACTGAGGGATGCTGGCTGGGAAGGATGTCCTCTTGCCGTTTGTTCCTGTTATGTAAAGAGGAAAGAGATGACAACTAAAGCAAAAAATGTTATGTGCCTTGTTCGCTTATTTAGATTTATGATTCAAAACAAATCCTCAAGTACTCATTTTTTGCATAAAGTTTACTATAAGGTTGTGGAAGTGCCCCCCTCTCTATGTTTACATTGATAATAATGTCGTGCTCTCACATCCTTTTTTTTTGGGTAGAAATCTCTTACATCCTTCTGCAGCTGCAGCAAGATTAAGTTGGTACCTTATTTTATTTTTGTTGATTTTGTGGACCAGAGATTTGGAGAAAGTGGGTTTTTTTGCTTTCTCACAATTTCTTTTGTTGTGATTCATTCTCACGAATTGGAGATATAAGAAACATTCTCTTTTTAACGACTACCGCACAGGAGTAATCATAATGGTGCAGGTTATATTTGTCGGCTCTGAGCAGGACCAAATTGGTTTTGGCATAAGGAAGGAAACTCGGGAGAATTGTTATCTAATCGCATATATTACGAATGCGATGCGGTCTAAACCATACCAAACCACAACTACTTATGTGGTTTGGTTTCCATTGATCACATTGCGATTCAGCATATTGTGAGATCCAATTGGCATACAAATACAATGCTGTTTATATCAATACTGCGGCCGAACGGCGCAATGTCCTCCCAAGGTAGATCCGAACACGATGACATTTTTGTGTCAATCAAGCACTAGTGCATGCACTGCGTGCCACATAACGATGACTGAGCTTCTGGCCATCGCGTTCTGCATTTTGTCCAACACTATCCCCACTCATCAATAAACAAAAATACAAGAAGACGAGGATGAAGCGATGAGCATCGCCTAGCAAAGCCAGAGAGGCCTCTTCCCAACGGGCATTATTAACTCTTTATCGGACAGGATAAACTCGGATGAATGAAGGGTGGCAGCCAGCCATAGTTTTGCGTTTGCCTAGCTCCCTACTCCTTTTGTCAGGACAAGTGGTATTCGATTCGATCATCCAGAGTTTAGATGCGGGAGAACGTATAGCTGCTTAGAGTAAACTTGTCCAAATGCGCCATTTTTTGTCCCTTCTCTCCCCTGTTTCTCTGTTCCACGTGAAACCCATCTGCTCCTTCTACTTCTACATTAAAACTCCCCATAGGGAACGATCTCAGTACAAGACAAATCGGGTAACACCTCGTGGGTGCATTGCATTCTTCCGTACTCCCTCTAATCCGCGGCCATCGATTCGTCCCCATATTGGACACGTTATAACGTACCAAGAGACACCCGTCGAATTGCATGCAAAAGTGAACACTCTGCCTCCCCTGTTTTTTCTTCTTTATGGCTCACTCGGTGCTCTCTGTTCCCACTCTTATCCGGGTTCTATCCACACCTATATAAACCCTTATCGCTTACAGTTCCTTCCCAACACAACACTTCAGAGTGAAGGAAAACAAGAAGGGAAACAAACATGAAAGCTATCAGTTTAATTGTCCTTGTGCTTCTCTCTGCTCTAGTTCTGGTCTCCGGGTTGGCTTCAGTGACCGAAGACGTGGAACTGAAGCAATGCCGGGACCTGTGCAGGGACCAGAAGCAGTTCGACGAGAAGCAGCAGCACGTCTGCATCCAGCGGTGCGAAGATTACGCTAGGGAGAAGAAGGAATGGGGCGGCCGCGGCGAATCTGCAGAGACTGATCCTGAGAGGAGGGTCAGGGAATGCAAGCACCAGTGCGAGCAGCATAAGCGTTACGGGGAGCAAGAGCGGGAGGTTTGCCGCAGCCAGTGCGAGAAGGAGTTCAGAGAAGGTGGCGGCAGGGGAAAGAAGTATTACTATGATGTAGAAGAAGAAGGAGAAGAGCAAGAGGTGTTTGGAGAAGGTGGGGAAAGGGAAGAGAATCCTTATGTTTTCAGGGACGAGCATTTCCTGAAGAAAGCTGAGAGCCAGCATGGAAGAGTCGATGTCCTCCAGAGGTTCACTGAGAGATCAGAGCTTCTGAAAGGAATTGAGAATTTCAGGATTGGGTTTCTTGAAGCTGACCCCCAGACTTTCATTTCCCCTGCCCACTTCGATGCTGATGGTGTTCTTTTCGTAGCCCAAGGTACTTGCTTTTCCTTTTATTTTTTTTAATTAAGCAGAGCCAAATTCTTGGTTCCCTTCTTCAGAAGGTAAACAATCTTCAATTTGTAGGGAGAGGGACGTTCACAATGATACGGGAGAACAGAGGGCGAACAACAACTTCTTCGAGGAGCGAGATCAAGAGGCACAGCTTCAACATCGAGACCGGAGATGTGATTAGGGTCCATGCTGGAACTCCTGTATACGTTGTCAACAAGCACGAAAGCCAGAAGCTAGTGATCATCAAATTCATTCGACCCGTCAACACTCCTGGAGCATTCGAGGCGTTCCACGGCCCAGGTGGCGACAACCCAGAATCCTTCTTCAGGGCATTTAGTCCTGAGCTGCTAGAAGCTGCTTTTAAGGTTCGTTTCTACCATGGAAATGACAAGGAAAAATTTGTTTTGAGGTGGTCTTGCTGTTTTTTATCTGATTTGGTGGGTGGGTTTTGATATACCCTGTTGCCAGGTTGATAGGGAGAGTCTGCAGAGGATCTTCCAACAAAAGGAGGGGACGATCATTAAAGCTTCCCAGGAGCAAATCAGGGCCTTGACCCATGGGGAGGAAGGTGGAGGCATTTGGCCATTCGGCGGCGAATCGAGCGGTCCCTTCAATCTCTTCCATAGGCGCCCTACTCACAAGAACAACTACGGGCAGCTGTTTGAAGCAGACCCCAACGAATTCGAGCAGCTTGACGATCTCGACCTCATGGTCTCCTTTGCCAACATCACACGAGTACTACTTCACCTCTTTTCATCCAAACATCCTATGAGATTTATACTTTGCATCCTGTTATTCTGAATCACAAATTAACAGCTCTGAATTTCCATGTAGGGAGGAATGGCCGGACCATTCTACAATTCAAAGGCGACGAAGATAGCTTACGTTGTGGACGGTGAAGGCTACTTCGAGATGGCTTGCCCTCACGTCTCCAGCACTAGGAAGCAGGGAAGAAGGGGCCAGAGTACTGGAAGCAGCAGGGGCTCGCGCCAAGGGACGACTTACGGGCAAGTGAAGTCGCGGCTGAAACGAGGCACGGTGTTCGTAGTCCCCGCGGGGCACCCTGTGGCGACGGTGGCATCGACAAACAACAACCTGCAGGTGGTGTGTTTCGAGGTGAACGCACGGGATAACTTCAAGTTCCAGCTGGCCGGGAAGAACAACGTGATGAGCAAGATGGAGAGCCAGGCGCTGGAGCTGGGGTTCGGGGTCCCGGCCAGGGAAGTGGAGCAGATTTTCAGGAATCAGAATGAGGAGTTCTTCTTCCCTGGTCCGGAGATGCAGCGGCAGCGCAGGAGAGGCCACAGCGCTGTGTAGTGGCATTGGGAGACTTGGGAAGGAACCGGCCGCAAAGAGGTGACGAGCAGAGAAGGTTTGTTAGGGCGAGATGCTGAGTGGGAAATGTGTAAATTATGAGGAAGAATAATAACTCCATAGCCATGGTGGAAGGGAGGCAGAGAAGAAAAAAAAAAGCTTATAATAAGCTTTCCTCGCTGTTTTGTGTAAATATTCTCATGTACCCTGTGCCTCTGCTTTCTGCTGTGAAAAGTGGACCGCTGACCATAATGAAAATCACTACCTGTTGCCTGTCTGTTTCATTTCATACACTGCCAGTTTCGACCACCATTCTCCTCGGGCCTCATTTTCTTTTATGCACCACTTTGAGAAATAAAATGAACTTCTAAAATAGTTGACTGTTATGGTAAAATAGGTGAACGTCATGCCATAATCTTCTATGCAAATTAGGCCACCAGTAACAAATCAAGACGGGTACAAATGCAGTCTGATTCGAATACGCACTTGCAGTACATTGGGAAGTATGATAATACAACTGTGGACAGTGAGAGAAAATAACCAAGTCTAAAATCCATCACTGAACCTATAATAAGTTTCACAGAGCACCTTGCTTCTCCCCTTTGTACAGCATGAATAAGTAGACAATGGAGACTTCTTGACTTATCCAACCATAGTGCGTTTACGACCCCGTTGCCGAACTGAAACAGGCAGGCAAAGGCAATCAGAAAGGGAAAACAAAGATAACTGGTAAGAGACGAAAAAGTGCAAAACCAAGAATGCAATAGAGCAAGATCGCACCTTGAGCTAGCTTGTTGAAGGTTGCTGACCACTGCTTTGAAGACTTCCTATATGCAGCAAGTATGCGATCCATCTGTGTACATTAATGAAGGTCAGCTTGGCAAAAGCTCCTTTCAGAGGGGTTTTCATTCATGTCAAGTGTCCAAACACTTACGTTTACTGATTGCAATGATAATTCCCAAAGTGGAGTGATCGAAAAGAAAGTAACATTCTAATCCCAAAATGGGGGTGATTATTTGCACAGTAACTTTTTACTTAATTTTCATCTCCGTCATTGTTACTGGTTTCTGAACCATAACGATATTTATACTTTCACCTTAAATATTCAAAGGTTATGGCTTACCACATTCCCGCATGAAGAATGCATTGACAGCAATGCTCGCTCTAACACATACAAATCAACAGCTTTGTCCTCTGGAAGAGTTGATCTAAAGCTTAGGCCAAAATCAATGAGAACCTGCAATTTTCCCAATCTTTGGGTTGTAATTTTTTCTCGTGGGAACCTAAGCTAAACAGCGAGGTGAAAGGACAAAAAATAGGGGGAGGCAGTCCCATAACTCACCAATTGGTTGACAACATTCCTGATTAGCATGTTTGAGGTAGTCAAATCTCCGTGGATAAGCCCGCCATCATGTAGTTTTGCAATTGCATCACCAATCTGCACAGCAATGTCGTCCAATTGTTCTTCCACTATACCATTAGATCCGAATTCAAGGAGGACATCTTTCACAGCAGGACCGTCCACGTACTCGAATGTTAAGCTGTGCAATACAGGATCCACAGCATAGAGAGCAGGAGTGCAAACTCCGAGTCGTCTTGCTTTCGTCATGCATCTAGCTTCCTGCTCCAGAAAATTTTCCAGTTCATCAATTGTCACTTGTGGAAGGGGCAAAAAGACCCCCTTTTTTTCTTATTATCAATCTCAAATATATACAAGAAGGATGTATTCTAACTCACAGCATTCAATCGCTTGAGAGTTAGCTTAGCATCTAGCGTTGGGTGCCTGTACTTCTTCGAGAACCGTTCCTTAACAACCGACCTCCTCCCCACAAAATTCAACTCAAAGACCTTCTGCATAATATGGCACCAAACTCAATACATCAAAATTTGCAGACTTTACTTACGACAAAGATTTACTTCCACTTAAGGAGAAGGCAACATGTGAGAGGTTTCTAATCCAAGTTCTTAGGAAGATCAGGGGAAGAGGAAATCCTGTTGATATGAAACCAGGCGGTACAAATAGAATGCAAGTAAATGAACTTACAGCCTCAGCTCCTTGCTTGAGCAGAACAAGGGAGCCATCTCCTACACCTTCTTCAAAGTTCATTAATTCGAACGTTCTGGCAACTAAAATAAGTACCCACCTCAGGAAACACTATGGACAACGGTTTTATCACTGAATTCGACAGTAAAGAGAACAGTAGCAACTGTGGAACGGAAAGAGAACAAACGGAAAGAGAACAAAGCTTCGATTCTCACTCTTGCCATTTCCAGTCATTTCATCAGGACGAAACCTTAGAAGCTGATATTAAAACCTTAAACCAACAAGAGTGAAAGCAGAGCTGTAGCAAGGTACGGCACCTTTGTGATGGCGAAACGGCGGAATCCGGCGAGACAGAGAAGCCACCACCAAAGCGGGGTGGCGCGCTTAAACCCTTTCCGCTCAAATCGTAAATATCCCCAAATTTCCAATTTTTCTCGGTCAGGGAAAGCGCTAATAAAACGACACCGCCTATCCACTTCACCAATCACCAGTTCAAATCGCAGGGGTTTTACTGTAATTTCATGGTAGCTTCCCAGTCCCGAGTCCACACAAGACAGATCCGGATCCCCCCGAAATTTTCCTTGCCGGGTTCCGAACCCTAACAAAAATCCCCTTCGTCCAATCGGCGGAGCTCACTGAGGCCAACTCTCTGCCGTTATCTTGGCACTAGAGGTACTTCGTCTTCTCCCCGTAGAATTTAACAATTTTGTTGATGATAGCGTTTTCGATTGATTGGCGTGATTTGTTTGTTTTGTGAACAGTGTGTTGCCGGGGAATCATGAAAAGGGCAATTCCGTGGAGCGACGACGACGGCGACAAGGATTCTTCGGATTCAGATGATGAATCGTCCACCTCGTCTTCGGCATCGGATGCTGAAGGTGATGTAGGCACCACCAAGACGAAAACCAAGAATGCCTCCAAGCACAAGAGCTCGAAAGGTACTCACTTTCTGAAACTTGACCTTTTTTTTAACCTTTTGGTACAACTGATACTTCAACTTCGCCGAAGCAGAACGATCCTAGATTCGGTATGGGAAGAAGCTTCGTAGTTTTGACTTAGCCCTCAAGTTCTCAATTTGAAACCCAGATCAGTGGAAGTGACAGCTCTGCTGGAAGAGCTAATACACAATTCTACTGGTTTCGTGGTTTCTCGTGCTATCGTCTAGGTGGTGTTAGTTTAGACTGAAGGAACTTTAGGTATGATAACCTTGGAAAGTTGGCTTATTGTCATGGCTCATCTTCTTTGATGATGTTGTTTCTAGGCAAGTCTGCAAGGCGGAGGCGTGGAGCTGTTGACTTTGAAGAACTGAGGCGGCATGGATACAAAGGTGGCCCCTCACTTCTGAGAATGCCACCCCCTAAAGACGACACAGAGCCCAACTGGACCTGGTCTACAGGTAAAGAACGCCTTGCTGCCACCAAGGTCGAGAATGGAGAGTCTTATGATGAGCGGCAGAAAACAAGGGCAGCTCTAGTAGCTGGAGAGCAGCTGGTGCATTCACAGACCCGGAAAGAGAAGGAGGAGAAGAATCAGCTTTCATTCTCGCAGAAGGAGAAGAGGAAACGAGAACTTGGGCAGGCTAGCAGGGGAAAGAATTATGTCGAGGAAGAGAAGAGGTTGTTGAGAGAAAGTGGCGTCTACTCTGGCTTTGATACATAAAATGATCAGCAACTACTCTGAATCTCTGATGGAAATAATAAGAGTGCTCTGTTATTCTAAGTGATGCGATGTAAGATTTTGTGTTGGAATACCCATATAATCAGATCTGTTGGCATCAAATGGTGTTTCCAATGGATGAAAACCCGGAAAAAATCCCAAAGTACACTAGTTTTTAAAAAAAATTCCCAAAATACATTAGTTATAAAAAAAATTCCAAAACTACACATGTTTGAGCATCACCGTTTTTGTCTAAAACGGTGAAGGTCATCACCGCGTTTGACAAACACGGTGAGTACTTCACCGTTTTAAACTAAAACGGTGAAGGGTTCACCGCTTTTGTTAAAAATGGTGAATACCTCACCGTTTTAATTTAACACGGTGATGCCTTCACCGTTTTAAACTAAAACGGTGAAGGCTTCACCGTTTTTGTCGGCCGCGGTGAAGTTGCTGACGTGGACAGCACGGGGTATTCACCGCGTTAGACAAACACGGTGAATAACCCGTGTTTGTTTGCGTCAGCAATCCGCGCCAATGTGCTTTCACCGTGGCCGTTAGATGCGGTGAGACGCGGATCGTGGTTTTCTTCCCACGATCCGACGCCTCACAGCACGCCACGTCACCATTGCATTCACCGCGTTTGGTTAAAGCGGTGAGTTCACCGCGTTCATCAAACGCGGTGAATGGAGCCCTAATAACTGCGCAGCAGCTCCTCCCCCCCTTCCCCCAAACTATAAATACCCCCTTCCCCTTTCACTTTCAACTCACCCCACAAACATTTCACTTCTTTCTCCCTCAATTTATCCGCTCTAGTCTCGTTCTAAGTATGCTCTGTGGTTGCGGCTAAGTCCGATCTTCCACATCAGAAAGAATTACTAGAGTTTGACCCTAAAGCCCCCGTCTCGCTAAGTTCCCGTCCCTTACAAAGCTAAACCCGTCGAACCTCTGTCCGGCTTCCGCCAATAATGGACGAAGAGGCTCTTCGTGTAGGTTTTTGGTTTGTGATTTTTTTTTAATCGAAACAATTTGATTTATTTTTTATCAAAACAATCTCTGATTATATTACTTTTTTATAGATGGGTGCCGAGATATACGATCCTCGATTGTATATCCATTATGGCCCAAGGGATGCGAGTCTCTTAACCAATCAAGAAATGCATCGCTCCCGTGCCATTTGGGATAACAATCCGGTAATTTGATGAACTGACTTGCTTTATTTTATTATTTTCTAATGTTTTATTTTGCTTTATTTAATCTAATTAATTGATGTTTTTCCTATTTTTTTTAGGAATCTCTTGTTCCCGTGGTTCATAAAGGGACCAATAACTTGCCCGCTTGGCATCCAAGGTTGGAGCCCTATATAGCGAGGACCGGTTTGGGAATGTTGCGCCATTTCTTGCGGATCGAGATCGACAACGAGCTGCTTACGGCAATGGCGGAACGATGGCGTCCCGAAACCCATACATTCCACCTTGCGGAGGGGGAAATGACGATCACCCTCAAAGACGTGGCGATCCTCACCGGGCTTCCTATATCTGGAGATGCCATCATTGGGAACACGACCAAACCCGGAGGAGGTTGGGGGCCGCTCATCCATGATCGTTTGGGCTTCGACATGCCGACCACCACACCAAATCAAGGACGGGGGCATCCACCGTTGAATGCGGGGCAAGTGTCGGTCCCGTGGCTGGTATCTCACATCCAGCAAGAGGTGGAAATCAATGACGAGACACCGGAAGAACAAGTCGAGCGCTACGCCCGCATCTACCTCATCGGTTTGGTGGGTGGATTTTTGTTCCCCGACAAGTCCAACCGGTGGATTCAAGGCATATGGTTGCCATTGCTCACCGGTGACTGGGATGCAATTGGAGAGAAGAGTTGGGGATCGGCCGTGCTAGCGGGCGTATACCGGGAGCTGTGTACTTGCTCGAGGGTTGGGGCAAAGCAAGCTGGTGCTGCGATGTTCATCGTTCAACTGTGGGTATGGGAGCATCTTCCAATGTTCGCACCTCTCGACCCACGTCCATACCGGAGAAACGATGATGAGCTCAACCTTCTGCAAAATCTCCCCTACGGTGTCAAGTAAGTTTATTCCGTACTTAGCCCAATTTAAATTTTATTACATGCTTGAGCTAGATTTAAATTGAATTTATTCCGTACTTAGCCCAATTTAAATTTTATTACATGCTTGAGCTAGATTTAAATTGAATTTATTCCGTACTTAGCCCAATTTAACTTTTTACCTTCCACTCGAAATTGCGCCTCAACGCCTCTTCTGTAAATGCATCCTGCACAGCGTCTTTCGATGTGAACGCCATACCCACCTCCAGATTGGCCGTCGGATTGTACACTGGCATAGGGACAAAGTCGGGGGGATCATTCTGACTATGTAAAAATTGAGTTGGAACCTGTGTGTAATATGGCGTGGGTGCCTCACGAAATGCCGCCTCATCCTCGTTATCATCAGTATCTTCCTCCTCCTCGCTCACTGATATCAAATCTTCCTCAGTATCCTCGTCGCTTGACTCGAATGGATAGCTCGAGCTAGAAGGATCAACATGACCACGATCACCAACATCGTCCTCTCGCTCATGTGAAGTACGCCCTGATCGAATGGTATTCTCGATTCCATACCACTCTGGCCCCCAAGCAGGCCATTGAACACCATCGGCCTCAACAAATGGGGCTGGTTTAGGAGGTTGCGAGTATTGGTCCCATCCTGCACTACTCGATCCACCGTAGTTGATTGAACCACCACCCTCCCCGTAACCTCCTGTATAACCACCGCCTTGGTAGTTGCTCGAACTACCACCCCATTCGTACCCTCCTGCAAAACCATCATCATAAGAATACTGGTGAGAATGAGATTCACCGAGCGCCTCGGTCTCAACATACACCTCTGCAAGCCGGACTTGGTTATCGCTTAGGAACTGTAACATCATCATAACCGCGTCATCATCGTTTATGACAACTTCTTGGAACACGACCCCGCCAGCACTCATGTCTGGATACCGGTAAGTAATTTTGCCAAGTCTCGTCTGTCCGCTCGTACAAACCCTTTCTGCACAAAGATCATAGAGTTCTTGAAAATTGAATCGGGATTCAATTTTCAGCATAATGGATTCGCCGTCCTCATAATCAATGCCTATGTCAGAGTTTGTCACCCTTCCATTCCACCGAATAGTAAGATGAAACTTCTTGAATTTACCCATATCTACAATTTACAATAAGTATCTATTAGCTTAAAGACAGTAAAATTAATCAAAATCATATTGTACAACTAATATTAAATCATACCATAACTAACGAAAATAAATTCAACTAACTAACAACAACATAATACGAAAATTAAATCATACTATAACTAACGAACATAAGTTCAACTAACTAACAACAACATAATACGAAAATTAAATCATACTATAACTAACGAACATAAGTTCAACTAACTAACAACAACATAATATGAAAATTAAATCATACTATAACTAACGAACATAAGTTCAACTAACTAACAACAACATAATACGAAAATTAAATCATACTATAACTACTAAAAACATAATTAGACCATAATACGAAAAGTCTCAACATACCGAAAAATTTCTGTTCTGTGTATTATGCTCGATTTTGGCTGCTGAAATTTGAAGAAAGGGGAGTGGTTATGTTTTTACAACTGCTGGTGGTGTGCTATTTATAGGAAAATCTGCCTACTATTCACCGTTTTTGTCAAAAACGGTGAACACTATCACCGCGTTTGTCTTAGACGGTGAATAGGTGGTAGCTGCGACCTAATTTTGACCTACCAGGGGTGGGAAACGTGGGAAATGATCACCGCGTTAGTTAACAACGGTGAAGGCTTCACCGTTTTTGACCAAAACGGTGATGTGTTCACCGTTGTTAATTAACGCGGTGAAAACTTCACCGTTTTGGTTTGAAACGGTGAATACTTCACCGTTTTTGTTTAAAACGATGAAGTATTCACCGTGTTTGTCAAACGCGGTGATGATCTTCACCGCGTTTGTCTAAAACGGTGATGCTCAAACATGTGTACTTTGGGAAATTTTTTTATAACTCATGTATTTTGGGAATTTTTTTTAAGAACGTGTGTACTTTGGGATTTTTTCCTGAAAACCCGGATTTCTTAGGAAAAAATCCAAAAGTAACACTGTTAAAAAAAAAATCCAAAAATACCACCCAATCCCAAAAAATTCCAAAAATACCACCCTTTTTCAAAAACCGCCACCCCATCCTGCGGTTTACACGAAAACCGTTTGTCGGGGGCGCGGTTTTCTATGCAAACCGCGGGCCTAGGAGGCGGTTATAAAAAAAAATTGGACCAAACCGCTAGGTGGGGTGGCGGTTTAACCCAAAACCGCCACCCCACCCAGCGGTTTGGTCCAAAAATTTTTTTCTTTTCGATCAACTCCTAACTTCGGCCGAAACTTCAAACGAACGTAACTTTGCATTTGGGTATCCGATCGATGCGATTTTTTTTTTCATTTCGCATAACTTTTCAAGATCTACAACTTTTAGTAGGATGAAATTTTCAAAACAGGAACTATTTGTGGATATACGGGACCTTAAAATTTTCAAAACAGGAACTAATTCTACTGGTCATTTGGAATTTAGGATTGTTTTAGTGAGATTGTTGTAATGCTCGCATTTTTTTATGGTCAAATCAACAATTTTTATTAAGCTCTAGCTAGTTGGGAAAATCTCTCATCGCCTCATCACAGTCTGTGTAAGTAACCATAAAAAAGAAGGAACATATAATATATGTCTCTCTGTAAACTATACTAAAAGAAAACATCTAAAATATTTCGCTTACATTTTTTGGCATGCATTGTTTATATATTTTTATGCACATAAAATGAATGTGTTGTTAGAAGTGTAGAAATAATCATTTAAAATGAATGATTATTGGTAAAATTTTGACTTCTAACTGAGATTATTGGAATTATTCATTTGTTGTTTTTAGCGTAACTTTTAAAAGATACATTTTACATAAAAAAAAAATGGGTGCAGACAATTGTACGAGTGACAATTTTCATTAAAGTTACTTTCTTTTTAATTATTGAACATAATCACATTTATCAAACATAATTTATAATGGTAACGTATTCTGCACACTCACTTTTTTGGGTGCACTCAGTGCACCCGCCTCATAATCATCATTCTGAGCATGCGATTTATGTCAAAATGATATCAATTGTTGTTTATGTTATTATGAACAAGAAACACATGAATTTGAAAAAAAAAATCATTTAAAATTTACTTTAATTTGAAGGATTTAGGATTTAGGGGTTTAGGGTTAGGGTTTAGGTTTTCAGTTTGGGATTTGCATTGGGATTCAAAATTGAAAGTTAAGAGGTTAGGGTAATAGATTGATTTGCTATGATTCTATGTCATGTCATCATATTAGATTGAGAGTACTAATTAAAGTTCAAAATTTGATGTATTATGGACACTTTTAGAGATGTGCACCCAAAAAAGTGAGTGCACCGAAGTAGCCACCATTTATAATGCATGAAATTCATCAATTATTGTCTAATCCTTCATGTACGGATTAATGCCATGTAACAATAGGAGACACCAACCCAATATCATTTTTGTATTTTCAGTTCACAACCATTTGCTTAGTTTGATAAGAGTTTTCCGCTTATGCTTTCAGATCATATTTACTACAATTGGCAACTTCTCCGATTGAACTCCTTCATATGGGTTGAATCAAAACGATATAGTTTCATTTATCTGCTTGTGACATCATCCTGTCCAATAGAGCATAGTTAGGTATGTTGCCCAAGTTTCCTGGGCTCAAGGTGGTAGAAGAAGTGCCTGATGTAAGTCTGTAACAGAAGAAACTGATCCATTCAATAATGTCACACGTGCAAGATTAAATACATGAAGAACCATCCGCTTCGTTAAGGGACCATGAACTACAGAACTTAAGGAAAAGATGTAGCTTAAGTCACTGCTTTTTTCGTCATATTGTATAGTGGAGGCTGAAAATTTGACCTAACAAACCTCCTCATACTCCTAAACCCAGTCCCTGATACTACTATTGTGAGAGTGTAAGTGTGCTGCAAAATCCTGACCTGATACTATCACAACAATTTCTCTCTCATTTGAAAATGAAGTAAGTGTCCCCTACATCGGTGTAGCAGTTGATCTATTGGAAAGGGTCCAGTAGATGGCTCTGATGGTATTAGGAGTTGTTCTGCAACAACCTCCAACCAGGGAAGCCCCTGCATCACACCTGTTCGGATATGTAAGGATTGGTTTGGTTGTCACCTGGAAGCACGAAATACATTCGCCAGGGCATCAGACTGTAAATTCGAATTGCAAATAAAGACGAGATGAATCTTGCCAAGTAAAAACTAAATTTTTCAGATAGGATATTATTGTTGCATAATACCTTCGTTTGCATACAAGGTCAGAACTACTATGCCAATTTATGGTTCAAATCAAGAAGAGAAATACTTCACTCAGATCTTGCTTCACACATAAGCATGAGCAAAATTAATATTACCTTTTAATAGATGATATTAATCTATGAATAAACATAGGAGGTGTACAGTTTATCCCAACAACTACAACTCTCTTGCATCTATCAGCAATAGTAGCACATTCAATCAAAGAGTCAACACTAACAACATTGATACCGTCCTTGGAATTAAAAGCAAACCATGCAGGAACTTCAATGTCTTCTTCCTCTAAAAGCTCAACATAGGCCTGCATGCATGTGCAGCAAAAGACTTTAAGCAAGAAAATTAACAGATGTAACAATTCTGTTATACTACTACAAGGTGTTCAAATTGCCCTTGTATGTCGTTTTCCTGTCTTTACATCTCTACTGCTTTCGATATAACATTGAGACAAAAATAAGGAATTGTTGAACATGCAACCAATTAGCAACTGTCCTGGGAGTTGTGGTTAGTTACCTGAGCTTCCACCTTATTTGGAATGGTTTCGAATGCTATGAGAACGGCACCGGATTCTGCCAAGATTTTAAGCCTTCTGCGATGGAACTCCTTCAAGATCTCCAAGCTAACAGCTTCACAATAGATTCCATTGTACTCAACAAACAACAAAGTGCAACATCTGTCAACTTCTGATAGGGATATTATTATATTAACATATATGAGAGAAAATTTGAACCAGAGTATGGATTTAGGGAAGACCCAGCCATAATTTATGCATAGTGAATAGACATCTATAATCCAGATAGAAGTAGACCGCCATTCAAGGATAGAAAACACACAGCTAGCTAAAAAGGAGCACTTTGATCAATCATAATATAGGTTCCAAGATATAATGTCAAGTATAGAGAACCCTGCCTTTTGTGAACCTAATATGTGAGGAGTAATAGTTGTGTAAAATGGAAATTCTGCTACTAAAAGGCCAAATTCCACAAAAAGATGCAGGGGACTAATGCACCTGTACTCTGATCCGTCAGCCAAATAAGCTCCATAGCTTCCAACAGAAGCAGCAACTATTATAGGTCGCTGCTTCAAGACATTGCCACTACTATCAATGTCATGTTGAGCTTCTTTGCATCTTTTGTTGTAGGCTTCTCTTGCCTCACAAGCGATCTCGACACGCTTTCAACTTCTTCAGTAGAGTATCCCTTTGCCTCAAATTCCTGAATGGTAGCCTGCTTGATAACAACAAAATCAAAGAGGTCAGTTTCATAGCCACATGCATGTACGCAAAAAGAGGAAGACTTTTGCATTGCCTGATATGATGTTGTGATAATAATATCTGCACCAGTTTCGAGATAGTTAGTGTGCACCTGCTTAGCCAAGAAACACAGTCAGAACGAAGATATAAATATACACTCTTCTTTAAGTTAAAACACTCCATGAATTCGAACCAAACAAAAAAAAATCTCCATAATTGGTGAATTTAAAAAAAGTTAGTACTAATTAAACACATGAGAAGTACTGGGCGGATTCCTACTTAAACAAAAGAGAGGAGTTAATTCGCAAAGTCCAAGTTAAACTGCAAAAACAAACTAGTTATCTTCGCTTCATTAATAGGCATGTTAGAGTTTTGGTAGTATGACAAAGTGGATTACTTGGTAGGATCAAGACCACCAACAAATCCTGCCTCCACAAGAAACAGGAGAGTCGTAGCATTGAAGAAATTCATAATTTTCAAGAACACCTTAATCCAAATTCCATGCAACTTCCAGGCACTTTATGAGCTTGGTTCTTGGGGTGAACTCCAATTTTTCAACCCACAAAAGTAAGCTTCAAAATCTCTCATTTGCACACCAACAGTTAAGAAGACTAGGATGTATTACCAAATTTCATCCAACACAATTTTCCTACTTAAGATATGTTTCGACCTGCCTGCTTAATCGAAACAAAAAAACTTTTAAATTTGAAACTAGACAAAAGTGAGGGAGGGCTGACAAACTACAGCTGCATAGTGGTGATGGGTTCAGTAACCATCAACTCTGACAACTCCAACCAAAAACAAATCAATGTAGAGATTTAATTTTCAGCTGAAACATAAGCCTCACAGGATCAGCACCCCCACACGGCGGTCCACTGCCGATGACCAAACTTCCGCGCGGAAACAAAAATAAACACTTTCAAAAAATTCCAGAAAAACCCAAAAAAGGAGAGGGGGGGAACTGGTAAGCACTTCTGCCCTAGAAATTTATAGAAGGAATCAATTGAAGGCAGAGCAAAACGTAGAAAAGCACATTTGACCAAATGCAAACGTATAGAGAGAGAGAGAGAGAGAGAGAGAGAGAGAGAGAGAGAGAGAGAGAGAGAGAGAGAGAGAGAGAGAGAGAGAGAGAGAGAGACGAGTGTACGGTGTGGATGAGATGAGGAGAAGTGAGGAGACACTTGGCACTCCAGAGCGGATCGTTGAGGTCGGCACCGTGGCGCTCGAGCTCGATGGCGAGGCCGCCGTCGATTATGGCCACGCCGCTAGAGTGGCGGAGGAGATCAGTCATGAGGGTGGAGGGTTGGTGGCCTGAATGTCCCATCGGTGGCGAAGGAAGAGTGGGAAATAGGTTTTTTTTTGCTGGAAATCGCAGGTTGCGAGTAGTAGTAGCGTAGGGTTGACGGAAGCGCTCACTAATTAATAGCAAAACAACTACTACAGTGGTGGAGACCTGAATACTTGCGTTCCTTCCTCCGGCTCTAGGCTGAGAATGAGAAAAGAGGGAATGTCAGCTTCGCAAACAATATTTGGTCTCCTGCCTTCACTATTTTGCTTAAATGGAACCGACATTATACGTTGTACCTTTGCCTTATTAAAATCCTTGATTGATTAAGAAATCATCATCACATACAAAAGGGTTGACATCAAGGTTGTCATTTGGGAACTCAATGTATGATTTGGCAAGGAGAACTATGTGAACAATAGTGGACTAATGGTAAGCCAGCTATAGAGAGAAAGGTGTAGAAGGTTATATGTAGGACAATAGCTCACGCCTCACAGAATTACAGTAGCTAGAGAAAATTCAGGAGGCTATCCAGCTGCATATCGACAACTCTGTACAATTTGCAGCAGCAAATTCTGAACTAATTTGGCTCCTATGATATCTGTGACTTTTGTTGATTAGTTGTATCAATGAACCTTCTATGTAAACTCTTTTGTTGGTTTGTAGCTTTGATAGATACGTAGGTAGAAGTACTGGAGATAGATAGGTTGATGTAAAAAGTTTGTGCACTCAGTGTTCGATTGGTTTGCCAGTTACGATGAGTATTTAGCTCGTTCTTTTTTTTATGAATAAATAATCTTATTCATAAAAGAACAACAATATTGTCAAACTAGTTTATATTAGGGCTGCAAATGAGCCGAGCTGAGCCGAGTTTTACCCCGGCTTGAGCTTGACTCGTTAACAAATGAGCTAAGCTCGAGCCCGAGCCATTTATTAACGAGCCTAGTCGAGTCGAGTTCGAGCTAGGCTTGTTTACTAAATTCTTAGATCGTATTTAATACATTAATTTTGTATGTCGTGTATGGTACATGTGATTGATGTAGTGATAAATAATAATCAAATGTTCAACATTAATTAATCTTATATTATAATTTTTAGGTGTCATATTGTTTAGTTAATAAATTTTAACTAGTTCAAATCATGTTATTTCATAGTATCGAAACAATTTTGTGCATAACTTCTTTATAGAATTAAAAATAATGCATATTTTCTTACATGTTAAACTTCACATGATGTGAGATATATAATTTAACAATCCTATGAATTATGAAAGTCCCAAATTAGATCGATTAGTCCATAAGTCAGTGATCAAGTTGGCCCTCAAACCACAATGTTGAGACATCTCATGAGCTCTAAATGACCCAACTCACGAGTTGAGCTCAACAACCCACCGAGTCGAGCTAGCTCGCGAGCTTCACGAGCTGAACATAGTTAGGCTCAAGCTTGGCTCGTCGGTAAACGAATCGAGTTTCGAACGAGTTTTTCCTGATTCGAACCTCGAGTTGCTCGCGAGTAGCTTGGCTCATTTGCAGCCCTAGTTTATATCATTGCGCCGTTTTAGCTGGTGAAATGGTTCGACCAGTAGTACGATCGGCTCATGTCGATTTAACAAAATATATAAAAATGTGCAAAATCATTAACATCAAATAAATTTAATCATATACAAAATATATTTGAAGACAATTACTTACAATCCATATTCATATTTAAATAATATACGACATTCCAAATAAAATAACAAATACTCTTATTTATAGTTATGTTCAATATGTAACGTTAATATCTAAATGTTGAATCCAACAAATTACATCGACCTTTAACTTTTAAATTCATAAATAAATAATAGAACCATTTTTATTAATTAAATTCTCTAAAACGACGTCATTTTGCTTATAGTTCGTATATCGATCATGCCGGTCATATCTAGGGTGTTCATGACGGTTTCATAACCGACACCAGTTGAACGTGAATTGGCCGGCATGCTAGCGACATGACAACCATGATTAAATCTCTTCTGTTACCATAGGATAAATACTAATTTTTTGCCCCTCGAGAGTTGACACATTTATTTCTCTTGTTCTATAAGTTTTAGGTCAGGGTATAAAACTATAATGAATGGTTGAGATTGTGAGGGAAGTTATCTAAAAGTAATCTTAGTATAAGGGTAAATAGGTAAAGTAGGAGTTTTGGGGAGAGGGCTGATCGGATTTTGGGGGCACTGTTTCTCAGGCGGTTGTTATAACGCTTTTCAAATCTCTTACGAAATTTCAACGGACTTTATCTTATTCATTTTACAATGGATTTCAAAAAATTTCATAAAAAATAACACTTTTTTTGTGTTCTACAATAGGGATGACAAAAATATCCGTAACCGTGGATATCCGCCCAAATCCTTCCTAATCGGGTAGGGTAAAATCCGAACCCGAGAACTTTTAGTGGGTAATGGGTGGGCATGGTTTTCTTACTTTTAGCGGGACGTGTTTCAAAAAAAAAAAAAATTCGCTACGATTGGATAACCGAGCACAAAGTTACGTTCGTTTAAAGTTTTGACGCAGGTCAGGCCTTCATCGCGGCTGTGTAATGCGGTGAAGCATTCAACGTATTTCTCTACAGCGGTGATGCAATCACCGCCTTTCTCTACCGCGGTGAATGCCCAAACATGCATAGATTGGAATTTTTTTTCATAACGTGTGTATTTTGAGAATTTTTTTTAAACATGCGTATTTTGGGATTTTTTCCATCATAGTGGTATGATGTTGATATCTTAATGGTGTAATGTCGGTATGAAAGTGATATGGTGTTGGTATGAGTTATTATGTTTGACAAAATAAATTGATAATATCATATCAATGTCAGATCATGATATGACAATGATACACACTCTAGTGTCCTGTTGTATATGGAGCTTTAACTTGACTCGTTTAATAACGGTCGAGCCCAAGCTACGTCTAAACTAGGCTCGACTCTCGATCGAGCCCAAACACAAATCACTAGAATGAAGAATTAATTAAAAACAACACAATTTCATAAAAATATTCAAAAAATAATGATCTTTCCTAGACAAAATACATATGCATGTGTATAATCGAGCGGGTTCGGGTTGGATAGCAAGAAAACCATGTCCACCCATTACCTGCAATAGTCAGGTTCGAGTTTTACTCGTACCCACTAAAAACCTTCCGAATTCAGATTTTACCCTACATGAATAAGTTACATTCATTTTACCCTGCCTGATTAAGTTAGATTCAGACGGATATAAACGATCAAGAATATTTTTCTCATTCCTACTCAACTTGACTCATTTGTCTCCCTAATTGAGTGGACAAATAACATCTCATTTGAACCAGCATACAATTCAACAACAAATAATCCATAACAAGTTTGGTTTTTATATGGGTAATCATGACGTCGTTGGTGGTACAGTTATCCAAGGTAATTGAGGACAACTTGCTATCAATATTCAAATCAATAAGACACTTGAACAACCTATCTCTCAACCTCTCACTGATATAATGGGTAGGGACATAACCAAAGCTCAACATGATGCTTTTAAGCTTCCAAGAATTGTCAATAAAATGGTCAGTCATTGCCATATAACTCCTCTTTTAGTTGGTTGAAGTCCACATATCAGTGGTAACTATAACTCTACTAATATTACCATCTAGAACCTTCCAAAACTTTGCCATTTCAACCACATATAATCTCATTATGTCCTTAATTGTATTTCTACAAGGCACAGTGAACTGAGGTTGCAAAAAACAACATAAACGTTTGAATCCCAAGTGTTTACCAATGCTACCATAATAATAGAACGCATCTCTTTCCTAGACACATAAGAATTGAAATGAGTAGCAGATAGTAGGGGTTTTCCAGTGGGTGTATAACCAGGATCAAGAACTTTCTGTGTATCATCATGTATTTTTCTTTGGGTACTATTTTTATAATGGTTCCTTAGGCGGGAGGTTCCATTACTAGTATCACCACAAAGTCATTTACGATAGTACTTACACTTAGCTTTAATTCCCCCGTTAAACTTCACCCTTCCAAAATGTGGCCAGACATCAGAATTCAATTTACGATCTTCCTCAAGAACGACTTCAACATTTTCATTTCTATTTGCCAAGACATTATTATCAGTACCATTACCATTAGTAATGTTATTCCCACTGTTTTGTTTACTAGCCTTGGGAGGATCATTCACATTGAAAGCATCATATGCGATTGCACCATCCATCTACATAAACAAAACCACAATCAATCAACCATCACGACTCAGACCATCCATCTATTTGCACACATGCAATCGACACATGCAAGCTACACAGTCCCTATTCCATGACCCTAAGTCCAAACACATACAAATTACAATATGTAGTTGATTTGAAGTAAGTCTACACCTAACCTGTAATCTGGAGAGGGAGGATATGTTGACCAGATTGCAGATGGTGAGCTAATGCCCGTTGCGAACCTGACGAACTCCAACAAAGTAAAAAACTAACAAAATAATATTAGCATTCATTGATTGATAAAGACCAGCAATAAACTAAAAGAAATGAAGTTTCAATAGTGATTACTTCGACTGTGCTATGAGAAGAGTGAAGGCCATGATGAACGGAAGAACTGAGACTGACCAGTGACCCTAAAATCAATCGACGGGGTTAATATTAATATATTTGAGAAGGAAGAAGGTGCAATTGAATACGAAAGGAAAAAGGAGAAAGAACTTCTATCGGTGTGTGATATCAAGCCGATTTCCCCCAATATCAGCAAATCGAAGATCACAACGGGCATTTTAGGATTCTGCATGCTATTCCCTTACCAAATTGTCAGCTAAACTAACCTCCAATTGACCAATTGCAGGATAATGATTGCCAAATGAATTATCGATGTACAAACAGCCTGGATGGAGAAGATTTCGTGGGGAATCGACGTAAATTTTGAGCAAAATGAATGCTTGCGGGATGCGAAGGAGAGAAAGTGGAGAGAGGGAACATGAGCAATCGGCCGTCACGAACAAGAGAAAATGGGGATATAGTGAGGGTATTGCCCGAAGCTTCATTTAATTTATATAGTGGGGATATAGTTTGGGGGACGGGCGGATATCACGAGATCTATCGTCACCCGTTGCTCGTTACTTACGAATTTTGGGTATTGCCCAAATCCGTCCTTTACCCACAACAGACTAGTAAAATGCTCACCATCTGGGCAGCGGTAGCGTACCCGACAAACCTCTCAAGATTGCCAGCCCTAATAGATTTCATATAGTTTTGCCTATTTCTATCTAAAATTTAAAAGATTTGTCCATTTTTAGATATTTACCATAATTTTATAGTTAAACCCGAGCCACCCAATAATCACAAGCCAATCATTAATTTTACTTGAGCCCCTTGGCAAATTGTGACGGCACCCGTGAACTGTTTCATTTCATACAAGCATATTTTGGTAAAACTCCTTGTACATGAATCTAGTTGTGAAAAATCATAATATAATAATAGAAATTAAGTCAATTACATGCTCTGTCCCTTCCGTAAGCTCAACTCTTGGGATTTCACTTTGGAAAAGTTAAATAAAGCTGCAAATACTGGGGACGACAATGTTATTGTGTGAATCAAACAACTTAATTACCCAAAGCGCAAACTTTATGCCAAACTTGTATGACACTCCTCCACCCTCCCCACCAAACTTAAGTACTCCTCCTCCTTTCAATACAATTTTCAGACTATTGTTTTAGTACTATGCTGATGAGATTCTAGCTGCAATCTTACATAAAGAATATTTCACCAACTAACTAATCTTTGCTTGTACACTCTCTGCACTTAGTTGCTTCAATCACTAGCCAGATCTCATGATGATTCCTTATAAATACACACATGCACCAGCAGAATGATGAATTAGAATTTAGAAAGAGAGCCGAAAATGGGGAGTCCATTAGCAGACGGGTGCGGCGGGTTCCATGAGGACCAGCTGGACGCGATCAGGAGGGAGCTGTTTCAGTCGGCAATGAAGGGCGACTGGCGGCGCGTGATCCACACCTACAGGACGCAGCCGTCGGCGTACGCGGCCCAGATCACGAAGCCCCTCGACACGGCGCTGCACATCGCCGTTTCGGACGGGCAGGAGCGCTGCCTGGAGCAGCTGGTGGAGATCATGTACGGGAAGAGCGGCGCCGGCGAGGAGGCAGGGGCGGCACTGAGGGTGAGGAACGACCACGGCAACACCCCGCTCCACATCGCGGCGGCGCTGGGGAACGTCAGGATGTGCGTCAGCATCGCGGGGAGGGACAAGGCGCTGGTCGGGGTGCGGAACGACGAGAGCGAGACGCCGCTGTTCCTGGCGGCGGTACACGGCATGAAGGAAGCGTTCCTCCGCATGCACCAGATCTGTGGGGCCGAGGATTGTCGGAGGCATTATCGAGGGAAGGACGGCGAGACCATCCTCCACGTCGCCATCGCCGGAGAATACTTCGGTGAGCTGATCGAGAACCAATTAAGTAAGCTGGAGAAATAATTGACTGGAATATTATATTCATGATGATGCGAATGCAGAGTTGGCGTATCAGATAATAGTTTTGTACAAGGAACTGGTGAACGCTGTGAACACGCATGGGAAAACCCCTCTGCACCTGCTGGCCAGCAAGCCTGGCGCGTTTAGAAGTGGCAGCCACGTTGGCGGATATCACCAGCTTATTTATTATTGTAAGTTCCCGGCCATTACTTGCCTTTTCTTTATTGTCCTGCGCCAACATTTTTTAGCTTCAATTTTGGTTGGACACAGAATCTCCAACCAGTTTCCTATTGGCGAGTTCATTTTTCTTTTTTTATATTTTAATGCATGCAGGTACGTTTGTGGACTTGCTTCAGCCAGAAATGCCACGCACATATGCTGGCCAAGGTGCAGCACCAGCGTCGTCCTACGTCCCTCCTAACTACGAAACCTGTGTTTCCTTCCTCGCATTACCACTTGACATAGGTGGGTAACATACTACCAGCTGCGAAAATTAGGTCAAATTACGTATGAGCTAGGTATATATATATATATATATATGGTGGTGTATTCGGTGCACCCACTTTTTCATAATTGTCATTCTGACCATGTGATTCATGTCAAAACGGTATCAATTGTTGCTTATTAAATCATTCAAAATTTACTTTAATTCGAAGGATTTAGGATTTAGGGATTTAGGGTTAGGGTTTAGGATTACAATTTGGGATTTTAGGTTGGGATTCAAAATTGAAGGTTAAGGGGTTAGGGTAATGGATTGATTTGTTATGATTTTATTTCATATCATCATATTAAATTGAGAATACTAATTAACGTTCAAAATTTGATGTATTATGGACGCTTTTAGATTTGGGTGCACTGAGTGCACCAAAAAAAGTGAGTGTGCCGAAGTAGACACCATATATATATGTCAAATTAATCAATAAAAATAAAGTTGTGATTATTTTCGTTTACAATCAAAGTTCGAGAACTGTTAGTTCAAGACGAATTTTATATTTCAAAATATGTGCTTACTATTTTGCCTATTTTTAATCTGCATATATGTTAATTGTTTCACCGATGAATTTAATTACAATATATATGCTTTTGTTTTTTTCCCCATGTTAGTGAAGAGTAGATTCAAACAGTCAAATGCTCCGTCAGAGGATGCAGAGAACCAGAGAGCTCCATCAAAACAGTCAGGTAAACATTTATATTTTATATACAGACTTTTAATAGCCCAGCCTAACGTTTTATACCAATCTTATTAATGATGATAATAATCACAATTTACAATACTGATCGACCCCTGATCCATGAAGCTGGGAGTCAACAACTACTTCCTTCCAATTACGACACGTGCTTTGAGTTCGTGAAGCTAGCCTTCAAGTCCCTCTTTGTCATCCTTGGATATGGTACGTACGTACCGCTCCCATCCATTTTCAAGCTTGCCTTCAAATGTCAATATTTATTCGATCTGCACCCATAAACAAGTATTCTGTTTGGTACTAATTACGCTACGTAGGATCGACCGAAATGAGGAAGATACGCATGAAGAAGGAGAAGCACGTGTGGTCGGTCCAGATAATGAACGAGCTTCTCAAAGATGCGGAGACGTACGTTTATGAGTACAACGGCAGGAGCCCCCACCCCATCGGAACACCTCTCGAGTTCAGCGACCTGCTCACCGCCGCCGGCGACCACGACATCAACAAGCCCAAACACCTCGAAACCATCGGTACGTATCGCACTTCCCCATCAATTTTAATTACATATATATTCACCATATCATATATTCCTCGACTTACGGTGTATGCATGCAATGCATGTCGGCCGGCCGGGATACACACAGAGACGCCGATGCTAATAGCGGCGAAGAACGGGATCACCGAGATCGTGGAGAAGATTCTGGACCTGTACCCGGTGGCCATTAACGACATGAACGCCGGGAAGAAGAACATCGTGCTGCTGGCGGTGGAGAACAGGCAGTCCCGCGTTTACGAGCGGCTGCTGAAGAGAGGGGTGATCAGAGAGAGCGTTTTCCGCAAGGTGGACAACCGCGGGAACAGCGCCTTGCACCTCGCCGCCGCCCTCGGCCACCACAAGCCCTGGCGGATCCCTGGCGCCGCCCTCCAGATGCAGTGGGAAATCAAGTGGTACGAGGTATGTCAGTCACCAACCATTACTAACTACTACTTAATTAGTCAATATATATCCAAATAAATGTGGCTTCTTCTAGTCACATTCAATGCAATCGATTCTAAAAGTAGATTTAAGACATTCAATTTTGGATTTTAATTTGATATGATTAGTATGATATGATAATATAACATAGAAAAACAACTAATCAATCAATTACCGTATTTCCTAAACCTTCAATTTTGAATACTAATGATAAATCCCAAATTATAAATCCTAAGCCTAATCTCTAAAATCTTCAAATCAAAGTAAACATTTAATGATTATTTTGTACAAATTCATTTGTTTTCTTATCCATCATATTACAAGTGACGATTGACATCGTTTTGAGATGAATTACATGTTCAAAATAACGATTATGAGATAGACTACATTGAATATATACACTTAAAAAAGTGAGTTTCCGAAGACAAAACCCAAAATAATAATAAATTAATTACATTATGATTACTATTATATTTGCATGCGTGCAGTTTGTGAAGAACTCGATGCCCTACAACTTCTTCATCCGGCACAACAAGGAAGGGAAAACTCCACGGGACATCTTCTCGGAGGAGCACGCTGACCTGGTGAAGAGCGGCGGAGAGTGGCTGATCAGCACGTCGGAGTCCTGCTCGGTGGTGGCCGCGCTCATCGCCACCGTGGCGTTCGCCACGTCGTCCACCGTCCCGGGAGGTGTGGAGCCGGACGGGAAGCCGACGCTGGAAGGGCAGCCGGCGTTCCACATCTTCGCGATCTCGTCGCTGGTGGCGCTCTGCTTCTCGGTCACCTCCCTCGTCATGTTCCTGTCCATCCTGACGTCACGCTTCCAGGAGAAGGACTTCGGGAGGGACCTGCCCAGAAAGCTGCTCATCGGGCTATCGTCGCTCTTCGTCTCCATCGCCGCCGTGCTGGTGAGTTTCTGCGCCGGGCATTTCTTCGTGCTCAGGGACGAGCTCAAGTACGCGGCGTATCCAGTGTATGCGCTGACGTGTCTGCCGGTCAGCTTCTTTGCGGTCGCCCAGTTCCCGCTCTATGTTGACTTGGTTCGTGCGACGTTCCAGCGAGTCCCGCGCGGGAGCTACATGGTGGTTCCTCCTTAATTACTAGCGATTTAATAATTAATGTTGATTGGCGGGTCGTTTAATTATACGTACCAAGACTTTGTGGCAGGCTTCCTAACATTCCCGTCCATTATTATTACACATAAAATTTGTCTCATATATTGGCAATCACTTGTATATGAATAATGTGACAACTAGTCTATTGTCAAATTAAATTTGGTTTGGACGAGGGTTTTTAATTTGAGTGATTTGTGAGAGATTTGGCTCCAAATCATTCCTTTACAATCCCAGGAAATTTATACGCAAGATTTGTTTAAATTGACTCGTTTGGAAACTAACGATAGATATTAATAGAGTAAGTAGAAATACGGTTTTACCTACATATGTTTCTCAACTGCTTTTTTAAGTTTAACAGCAACAATATGTTCATGGTTGAAGAAACCCATAAATTGCCTTCTTCTTCTTCAACCAACAACGACTTGAATCTTCGTTTATAAGTTGGTGATTGATGGTGACGGAGATGAGGAAGGAGATGAAGTGGAGTCGGAGCCTACGTGGGTGAAATGTAGGCAACAATAACAACGACCATAACCCAGAAACCGATAGCCAAAACCTTGCCTATCTTCGGAGACCTCACAAAACTCCAACACTTGTCTGGGTTTTGTTAGTCTTTTCTAGGGATGCAAACGAGCCGAGTTTTTCTTAGCTTGAGCTCGGCTCCTTAAGAAAATTTTCAACTCGAGCTCGAGCTCGGCTCAAACTCAAATTTCGATAATCTAGTTTGAACTTGTGCTCAGCTTGAAAAAAAATAATCTAGCTCGAGCTCGACTTAGTATAGCTCGGTAAATGCTTATTAACATAGCATGTCAAGCTGAGTATATGGTTGGCTCAAGATGAGTTCGATTTGAAATTATTTTTTCCAAAAAAAAATGTGTGAACATAAGAACTTAAATGATAAAAAGAACACTAGAAACTAAAAATAACAGTTAACTTTCATACACATTCTTATTAACAAGATAATATTTATGTTTAGAAGAGTAATTAATCCTTCCACAAGCTCTAAACAAGCTAGCTCGCGAGCTTAGATCAACAAGCTACCGAGTCAAGCTAGCTCACGAGCTTATCAAGCAGAGCATGGTCTAGCTCAAGAATTGCTCGTTTACTAATTAACGAGTCGGCTTGTTAAATAATGAGCCGAGTGTCGAACTTTGGTTTTTCTATTCGAACACCGAGTTGCTCACGAGCGTCTTTGACTTCGATTCCCAATCAGAAATCAATTGGATCTCCTTTCTGCATTTGAAACCTTTAGTAGAAGGGAAAATGGAATACAACCAAAGAAAACCCAGAACCTAGAAACAGGAAGAACCGAGCAAAGTACTGCATCTTCTTCAATTTGGACACCAAAACTATCGCCGTTGACTAGAATCGACACCGCCAACATCGAAATTTGCCTCGTATTGTCGACTCCCACAAACAAAGATGAAGGGATGTGGTTTGGTCAACGAATCTCCTAAATCTGGCCTTCATCTCCCCTTCTCTTGTTCACGATTTCACAGTCGTCGTTCGTCGACGAATCTCTCCACTAAAGATTAGTAGCTTCACAAGAATATAGCGGAAGAGAGAAGGTGATTATTCATGGTTGTCAGCAGAAAGCAAGTGAGTTGGTTTCTTGATTCCATTTGGAGAAGGAGAAGCGGAATTGATGACCGCTGAATTTGGAAATCGAGTTTGATGACCATTGGTGGAGGAAGAATGGAGAAGAGTCATTGGTGGAGCAAGAATAAAGAAGGTAAGTTTTGAAAGAATAAAATTAAGAACGAGAGATTTCAAAATAGGTGATGGTCATCAGCTATTTCATAATCACACATATGTGGGTTTTTAAAAACTCTAATGGGAACAGTATTCTCTAATTTGTACAGATCTTTCCAAACGTGTTACTTGGTTCAAATTCCACATTGTGTGAGATTGTTTTCAAATCCCGCAATAATCCTCCATCCAAAAGAACCCATGGTGACAAATACATTTGTCAAAATAAACACATATTTTATCATAATAAGATTTTATTGTTGTCACATTATAAATAATTTTTAGTATGTTATTGTGAGATCTACAAGTGATAAACTAGTGGCATAATATCTTTTGTCATCCCTATATTTTTTTTTGTTATATGGTGTCATTATATCTTTTGCCACACCTAAATTTTGTATTTTGGTTAAATGTAACAATAATGAGTTCGTCATATGTCAATTTATTATAACAATTTGTGCATGCCCAATCAAACTTAAAAAAAAGAGTCATTTATAATTTGAAAAAGAATCATGTTATTTAGTTTATAATTAGTTTATTGAAATGTCTTTTGAGGAGGAAAATAACCTTTTATATTTAATTTGTTTGTATTAGGTGACTTGAAGTGGAATTATCTTTTAGAAGATGTAATTGCAATGTTTATGATATTTTTGTCGTCATATATATTTTTAGGAATAAGTCATATATATTTTTAGGGATAACCCAGAGAAGAGCGAGCAATGCCACAAGAATGACGACACTCTTACAGATTTATACATAGACTAGATAGGTGAAGTTATAAAACATCATTAGTAGGACCATGATATCAAAAGACATGTCATGCCATTGAATGGGCATGCTGATTTATTTCTCGAGGTGTGAACACAAAGTATATTATAGGCAACTCCATGAGTAAAGAGTGAACTTCACACAAAATAGTCCATCCTCGAGCATTATGAGTAGAACTCGTGTCAACTCGTCCAGTATTGTTTCAGCATCATCAATAAGGTGGATGGGTCGATTGTGTCACTACCACCGCTGAATGAGATATGAAGCTTCATGAAAGGCCAGTAGTTCCAATAGAGTAGTGCACACAATAATACTAGTAAAATTGAATGTACATAAATGTCAACATGAAGTCAAAATAGGTGCCCTCAACCCAACTAGTAGGAGCCCTCGTAGAACCATTAACAGGAATGTGAAACCCTCAACATACTTAATGGGAATTACGATGATGATAAGGTAGAAGTATGAGAGGAGGGCATGGCTCAACTTGAGTTGTGGCGATGAAGTGATAACCACGGTGGGTGAGAAATTACAAGGGAGAACAAGTGTGTATTCTGTGTGGGGAGGAAGACGATATTGTTATGACCCTTAGATTCGCCAGCAAAGGAGGACCCAATTGGTGAAAGTATCATAATTAGAGTGGAGGAGCAGATGATTCCAAAGCATAGAAATGTGAAAGTAGGAGGAGGCCCATCTGGCAGCTAATGGTCGAGAAGATGACGAAATGAAACAACAACAAATGAAAAGGTGCTCGAGTGATTCCCCTTCATTAACACCATAAATTGGAAATGTGTCGTCCACGTTGAGCCCATGTGTATAGTTGGAGACCTTCACGCACCAGCAGGATTCGTAGCAAGAAGCGCCAGAGAAAAACTTGAGATATGGTGCTAGAGAGAGGACCCATATCTTAGGCCAGAGGGATGGGTCACGTAGGAATGGCAAAAATAATCATACTCGTGCATGCCCATCGAAATTCGACCTATCTAGTCTGGGTACCGAACCCTAACGATTTTTAATATGTATGGTTAAAAGTCGTATCCGAATATTATGGGTAATTGATGGAGACAGTTTTCTCAGTATTCAGTATGAACCCGCCCGATTATACACATAGATATGTAATTTATTTAAATATTATCATTATGTTTCTCAACAAATCAGATGTTTATTATTCATAGATTATATTTTTCATGAAATTATGTTTTTTTTAACTAATTTTCTTCATTCTAGTAACTTATTGTTATACTTTTTCACTTGTGTAATGTCAATATAACGTAATTATCAACATGTTGGTTGATGTTATAAACATAAATTATTATCCATGGATAACCGTGGATATCTGGAACCTTATCGGGTATGGGTATGGTTTGTTATTTTACTTGATACTTGTATGGGTATCTGATGGATAAAACTCAAACTATTATGGGCAGGGTAATGCATATGCATTATCCGCCCCACATATTATCCATTTCCATCCTTATAATTGAAGGGAGAAGTTGTGGCATGCATAGACCCTTATGACATGCCAAGGCATGATGGTGGCTAGGATGAGGCAATAAGTGGATTTAACCAAGAAAAGACCCAGATATTTAAAATGGCAGATGTATCAGTCAACACAAGGAGTACGATGCAAAGCGATTGCTAAAATGGAAGTCACATAGGCATCACGAGGAAGTCGAGGGTGATATAAAATACAAAACAAACTTTAAGGACACTGGAGATGTAGGGAGGTGGTTGGTACGGAAATATGGGAGGGTAGGAATGCATGGATCAATGACAATGTCGATTGTGGTTCTGGAACCAATTTCCCAGGGTAAGCCTTGTTGAAGCATATCTGAAACGTGAAGCAAGGATTGTTAGGCAGATAAGGAGTTGGAGTATATCATTGCTGAATGGAAGAACATATTATGAAAGTAGAAACCCTTGAGAACCCAATCAACTAGAGAGTTTAGCTCCAGAAAGAGATGCCAACACTGCTTGGCCAAAACAGATTGCTAAAAGATCTTAAGTCTCAAAAGCCTAGTGTGTCTTCTGTTTTGGGACTACAAAAGTGGCGCCAGGAGACCCAATGTAAATTATATTTAGTGCCCTACTTCCCCCATCAAAGTCGCGCAATCATACGATTGATATTGCGACAAAGTTTCTTCGGTACACAAAAGAAGGACATAGCATACATGTGCATGATATAGTTGAGTGATTTAATGAGTGTTTCAAGACTGGCTAAAGACAGAAAAAACCATTTCCACATTTGCAGGTGCTTAGCAACCCTGTCTTCAATATATTAGAAAGGTTCTCACATGGAATGACGAGTTAGAGATAGGGGACCTAAGTACTTGTCTTATGCTCCATTGGTTTCGATTGCAATAAGGCCTAGAAAGATGCTGGTTTTGATGGTAGTGAGTTCTTAGAGAGAACTTTTTCAATCTATTTAAGTTAACGCACCAACTATTCATACATTCATAATATGATGTAGGAGGTGTATTAGTGTAATAGTGTCTGATAGTCTAAATGAGTGTCCTAGAGAAAAAAAGGAATGCATCATTAGTGACGACTATGTGGGAATAATGAGGTAATGATCATTGAACCAAATGTTAAGTTCTATCATAGTTATCTGTTGAGATAATAATGCATAG